ATATAACATCCATGTTTTTTTTTTTTTTTTTGCTTCTTTGTTGCAGTACATTTGATTTTGATGAGATGTTAGTGCGTATGACAAATGTTCTGGAGGTTCAAAGCCGTCTTGTCTTAATTCACAAAGTCACATTGGTTTTCCATGTTGTTATTAAAACTATTTGATCAATGGTTTATCACTTTTTAAATGAGTCATTGATATAATTTCAAATGATTTATCACGTTTTTCATTTAAGGGTAAAACTGAAGTTGTTGTTCAATTCGATTATTATGAGTGCATGCATATATACATACGAGAGCATCATTTTATTGTATATGAATAATGCAAGGGACATCAAAATTGAGTACCAAATGATGTGGCATATTTCACATCAATTTTATATTATTTTTTTTATGAGTCATTAGTTTCTTTAGGTAAAATATAAAAATTAAAGTAGAGTTAATTAACCCTAGTCACACCACCACACTCCACCTATCACAACGTCACGTACCCAGACCTTCCTGCTGCACCATCTTCTCACAACCATCATTAAGATCTGACCCACAAAAATGGCTCTTTGAATTCTAGTTCGTGATATATAGACAACCCCTTTACAAAGTCCAGAATAAATTGAAGAAATAAAAGTTAAAAAATTGAAAATATATAGGCCGTTAATCATGATGGCGATGTGGAGTCTTGTAAAACACAGTCAAAACTAAACCATAAATATGTTTCTTCTCTCTCCCGCAAAGCTCTCTGATATTAGTTTGTGTTATAGCACGAACTTCTTTCACTTAAAGTGAAAATTAAAACGTCGTACGTATATGTGCGCGTCAATGGTATCGTCAAGACTCATCCATAATAGAAAGGATCGTACAGTGATGGGAGAACGGGAACCTGGATTGGTTTTGTGACTAGTTGACCGTTGGGTTAATCCTTCATTATCCTTTCTTAAAAACGTAATGATTTTTATTTGATCAAGACATGCTGAAATTTGCTAAATGAAAAGTGATGAAGTGGAGTATGTCACGTCATTTGGGACTTAATTTTGGTGTCTCTAGCATTACTTGACAATAAGGCGACCAGTAACTCTCTAAACCCTCTAGCATTAATTTTGGTGCACAATTTTGGCGACTAGTAACTCTCTACAATGAGACATTGTCTGCAATAATTAATGCCAAATTAGTTTTAATGAGGTCAGCCTAAAAATTATGTTCTAATCAAGCAGATCATGTTGTATTTTCTAATTAATTTGTTGTGACAATCTTATATTTATATGCTAATTTTATTTTGTTTCTTCTATGATTTACCTCTAAAATAAGTCAGCACACCTATTCAAGAAACAATAACAATATTGCATATAGAAATACCAATATCATCGTATTAAAGTAACTTTACCATATGGTTTACTTTTGTTCTTGTGCATGCGCAAGAAGACGTATAGAAGTATTAAAGTAACTTTACCATATGGTTTACTTTTGTTCTTGTGTATGCGCAAGAAGACGTATAGAAATACCAATATCATCGTATTAAAGTAATCATTTTACCATTTAGTTTATAGCATGCTGAAAATGTGATAGACTAATTGAAATAGAACTATCATTTCCACCAAGAAATGAAATTAACATGGGACCATTTCTTTACATGTGATAGCCGTTTATATACAATCAGACAATCAATTGCTTTAACATATAACACGTCTCCAAACATCAAACTCATACATACACCAAAATGATGCGAGTCATAAAGCTATAGCACAACATCAAACATCCAATTCACCAAAAATATTTAAATGTGTGAGATATTGGAAGCAATTAAAGATAAATCTTAAACGGTTCAATATAAAGGGCACTGATGCATAGGCATCACTCTTATTGTTCTAATTATTCAGGTGCTAGTTGCTTTGTGCTTGAGGCCGAAGAAGACAGACGACAAGAAAGTCTTATGGAATTGGAGCCTGGAAAAGTTTGGAAAATGTCTTACCTTATCACCATATAGGTTGTGTTGCCGTAATATTGGAAGCTTAGAAATGGATGCTTTTGACAAAGAAAACGACTCATGCTGCAAGTAAGAAAGATGTCCCAAGTGAAGTTTAAGTCCAAAATTTTTAGTTGTCATTAGATCTAGCTAGTCTCCTTGTTTGTTATTAGTTTTGTTCTTAATTTTGTATAAATTTAGTTAAAGGTTAATTTCAATTTGTCTTTGCATGCAATTGTACTTATAAGGCATATTTGTCTATACACTCTCAATTTTAATAATTAATTATCTCGTTAGTTGTCTATGTGGTAGCCTTGGATCCTACCTCTTCGCGTGATTCGAAGTCAGTTCGACGAAACATTATCTATTTTGAATTTGATTCTATCCTAGAATTAGGATACATTATCCGAAAATGCCTAACTTTAAAACACACGAAAAGGTGGGACACATGGTTGCTACAAGGTCATTAATAGATCGATTAATTACTTAATTTGATGGAAACAAACTGATGTAGGCGCAATTTCCTATCCGAATCCAAGAAAATAACATTCAAAGATGTATTGTCTTAATTCACAAAGTCACATTGGTTTTCCATGCTGTTATTAAAACTACTATGATCAATAGTTAATCACTTATTAAATGGGTAATTGATTTAATTCTTGAAACTCTTTTCTCTTATTTGATTTATCACGTTTTTCATTTCGGGGAAAAACTAAATTTATTAAATTTGATTATTGTGAGTGCACACATACGAGGATCATGTTATTGTATATCATTGACAACAGGGAACCACCAGTAACTCTCTGCAATGAGACATTGTTTGCAATGATGCCAACTTAGTTTTATCTTTTAACGGGGTCATCCTAAAAATTATGTTCTAATCAAGCATCCACAAAAACAAACACCAACCAACTCAAAAAAAAAAATTATGGGTCTGTTTGGCCTCCGGGATTGTCATATATGACAACCGATGCTCGTGACATTTAAAATCCTTGGCCTTGTTTTTCCAACCTCGCCCTCAACTAATACTTAGTTAAGCCCTAAAGCCCTCGCTCGCGTTCGCCGAGATTCAGTTTCAAACAACTGCATTTTCTATTTAATTTGTTGTGACAATCACATTTTATATGCTAATTTTATTTTGTTTATTCTATGGTTACCTTTAAAATAAGTCAGCGTACCCAATCACGAAAAAAAATAACAATATTGCATATAGAATTACCAATATCATTTTATTAAAGTAATCATTTTGCCATTTAGTTTGTTTTGTTCTTGTGCATAGGCAAGAACGCGTATAGAAATACCAATATCATCGTATTAATTTAAAGTTTTCATTTTACCATTTAGTTTATACAATGCCAAAAGTGTGATTGACTAAGTGAAATTAAACTATCATTTCCCCCAAGAAATGAAATTAACATGGGACCATTTCTTATTGTGAGAATGTAAAGATAAAAAGTTCCACATTGGAAAGTTGAGGAACCTAGCAAGGGCTTATAAGGAGTTGGGCTACTCCTCCCATTGCCAATTGATTTTGGGGTGAAACCTCAACTTCTTTTATGGTATTAGAGCGGGTTAGCCCACGTGTGAAAGCCCAATTGCTACATGTGCTCCACGTAATCCAATATGTGTTGTCCACGTGTTAGACTTGAAAATTCACCACACGTGTGGAGGCGTGTGAGAATGTGAATGTAAAAAGTCAGTGACTAATAAAAATGATTAGATATCAACAATATATAAGTCTCTGAATTAATAATATGGGACTATCACACTTATAAATACCGTCTTGTATTAATTAACAAAGGCACAATTAATTCACAAAGGCATAGTTTTGTATTAATTCAGAGCAAAAGACTCATAATTGTGTATTGATTACCTTGATTTTTTATTACAATGTAACAGTACAGCTTATATAGCTAATAACAGACTTAGAAACTAATAACCAAAACTTTAACAAACTAACAGACTAGAACACGTGCCATCCATGTGCTCTGCTGATCTGGACAATATGGTTATCAACAAATGCATTTGTTGTGTGTTATATTTGATTTTCTTGGGTTTCTTTTTACTCTCTAACTCTAATTAATTGTTATTCTTGACTTCTATAGTTTTTCCAATATTTATCTTTACTCCATTTTTCCTTTTTAACTTCAATCTTTTTATTCTTTCATTTCTTGAGTTCTCTTACAGATTTTGTTATTAAATCGGCCATCAGTCAAGTAAATCTCTCAATACTAGCTATTTAGTTATCTTTTGAGCAATGTATTATGATTTGATTCATATCAAATTATTTCTTTGTAATTTATTGTACGATGCAAGTTATGATTTTGGAATATAACAATTAAATTATACAATAAAAAAAATATTATGTTAATGTTCACGGCTTTCTCAGGCTAATAATGTTGACCCTCATTGAGAGAATTCCCGGATACGTCAATAGTTGTGTTGTTGTGATATTGGAAGCATATAGATGGCTCTCCGTTTTGACAGGCTCAAGCCGAGGAGAAAACACATGTGCCAATTGAAGTTTGAGATATTGTAATAGATGTCCAAACATTTAACTCATTACTAGTTATAGTCCATGTTTGTTGATTCAATAGTTTTGTTATGCCTCTTTTGTTCCTAATTCACATTCTAAATTTCAACTTGTGTATAATTTCTGCCACCCACATGTAACAATCAAATAAATTTATCAATAAACAGTCTACCAATGTATGTGGTAAAAAATACCAAACAACTATTTACGCTTGCATGTGGTAAATAATCATTAAGCAACTGTGACAGTATACTTTTGTATGTAATAAAAAGATTACCAAACAAAAAATTACCAAGTTTAATATACTCCCCCAGAGTAAAATCTCTAATGATAAAGTGCAAAACGTATATTCTATAACATAATATTTCTGTCCTGCTTTAATACTAATATTAATAACTCAATTGTAGTCGATTTTAAGCATCTTGTAAACTAGAAGCTTGCATCCTACAAATCAAACCGCGGCGGCCTGGCGGTTTGGCAGTCGGTAAGAGAGAGCGAGAGAGATTTGGGCTTTTCATTGAAACTGTTCAGTTTTTCGTTGGGCTTTTCATTTTGCTAAGATATTTCAATCAACAAATATACGTACAATACAGGCAAAGTTTAGCGAGTACAGGCAAGCAGTGCAGCAGCTATGCAAAAATTATTCTACATGTTAAATCTCATTACACAATTGCACAAATGAATACATGAAACTCCTTCCCAAGTTCCACTGCTTTATTGCAATCTGGGTGGTCTCGAAAGCCACATTGCACAAGGCAGCTTTCGAACCAAATAAAATTGATTAATCGATCGATTAATTAATTTGATGGATGGAACTGGAGTACGCAGGAAACGAGCAATTTCCTATCCACAAGGAAGGAGAAACATTTTAGTTTTATTTTTTGACTGGAAAAACTAAAGGGTTTTTTTTGCAGGATGTTATGATACAGGTAGAAGCAGCCCTGGCGCCAAAGAACTGGAAGCCCTTGTCTTCTATTACGCCTGCAGATACCCCTTCTCCTCCAAGTACGATATCACGGTTTCAGCCATCTCACCTGGGGGGGCACAGTCCCTGCCTTTCTGCTGCAATACTATCTGCAAGATGAAAGCATATTAGGAAAGAAAAAAACCAATTTAACACAAGGAAATTAAAGGCTTGATTTCGTTCATAAACACAAAGTAATGCTGCCCTACACAGATGTATGATTTCCTTTACAGACATACCTCACAATTTAATGGTGGCTCGTATGGATCATCAACCCCTGTAAAACCTGCAGAATGCCAAACAAATCATTCATCACTTATATGATTGGTGAGAACTGATTTACCTGGGGTTCGGGAAAGAAATAACACAGAAATGATAGATCCATTTAGCACTGCATCATCTTTAAACTTAAGCTCCTAGAGGATACCTTTGATTTTTCCAGCTCGAGCAAGCTTGTAAAGGCCCTTCGGGTCCCTATTCTCACACACATGGAGTGGCACGTCCATGAACACCTGAGAAATGTGAGGTTTGTCAGGTCATCACTGGAAACAAAGAGCCTCTTGCCTTTTGTCACATTGTGGTGCTAATAGCAAACTAAATTCACTACCTATATTTTTGGATTGAATCCATTCCTCATATTAAAGACATCACATACCTCAATAAAATCCCCTTCAGGAAATAATGCACGGCAGACATCTCGGTCCTTTCTGTATGGAGATATTAAACTAGCAATACAAATGATGCCAGCATCCGCAAAGAGCTTAGCTACCTCAGCTTTTTTTTTTTTTTTTTTTTTGGTGAAGAATTAAATCAGTAAAAGAAAATATAAGAAAATAAATGGAAAAGTCAATAAATTCTATCTACAAAAATACCCACCAATTCTTCGTATGTTCTCTGCACGATCTTCTGCTTTGAAACTAAGATCACGATTTAGACCATGCCGAACATTGTCACCATCAAGGATGTAGGTCAGCTTTCCTCTCATGTGCAAGCCTTGACTCAAAGCACATGCCACAGTGCTTTTTCCTAAAATTAGAGACCAGGATATGAGAGTGTGGGTTATAAGGTGAAGACTACAGAGTAACAAATTGAACAGGAAGAATCCGCAATCAGAGTCAAACAAAGTTGCACCAAAAGTCATAAGCAATACAAAAATGTCTATATCTAGAAGGTCTTCCAATTGATGGAGATGGTTAATGAGTTAGCTTTCTTCTTTCATAGTTCCTCCTTTATAGTGTACCATCCAGTCAACACTCTGATTGATCTTAAATATGACAATTATCATGCAAAATATCAACATGTATGTTTCCTTTGCTCATCCGGCCTTGAATAGTTTGTTTGAGCATTGTGTAAGGATGACATTCATAAATCAAGGAACAAATAATATTTTTATTAAAATGGGGACAAATATTTGTAATTATCTAATTAATACTATTTCAGATGCATTTATTAACTATAGTTTTGATATTCACGAATAGCTCCACCAACATAAAATCAGTAAAATGGGCCATGATGTAGCAACAGCAAGCTCAGTTGGACAAGGCTCTCCTCTGTTTAGATGTGAAATTAAAATAGCTCTAAAGAAATTCATAAGATTAATCGCTCGGTGTAAAAAAATTTACACAAATAAATTCCTGTTAAGTATGATTAGACTTAAAAACAAATGAAAAAGCTTATGATGCACTGTTCTATGATTATACCATTTATCTGTATTCATAGTTGAATATCAAGGATCCTGATAGAGACATGAATGAAGAATATTGAACCCTGTGAAAACATGAGTTTGGGTCATGCATAAACAATTAAGGATGAAAAGGGTACAACTGACTTGGGCATGGATAACCTCAATTGTTTTAATCAAAGAATTAGCACTTGAAGAGGCTATAACTTTTAGCCAAAAACAAAATTACAGGGTACTTAGTTGTGTTACATAATATTAATGTAATCAAGCTAAGGTATAATAACAATACTACAGCTAAGAAGCAGCAGAGATGGGTAGCAAAGGAAAGCACACAGAAAGAGATCTGTAGCTACTAAGTGATATCTTTCTAACCCATTGTGTGTGTTTGTGTTCGTGTGTGCATGTGTATGAGAGAGAACAGGAGAAGTCTACATTCATAGTATGTCAACTTCCTTTCTTTATCCTCTTTTGACATATTTCTTGAAAGGGAAAGCTGAGGTCAAATGATGGCACCACCTTTCATGTAGGTATCATCACCTTGCCTTCTGGTTATTGAGATGTATAATTCCAGAAGGGTTATACCAGCAGCATGATTACTGCTATGCAAGTATAACTACAAATCACAAATTCCCATATCAAAATATGCACACAAGAAAATGAAATGAAATAATATTTGCATGAGTTATTAAATAACAAAAGAGCTAAAACTTCATGTGTGCATATACAATAACAATTACAGAGTTGCTAACGGAGACGCTGATTAGCCTTTCATATAGCAAAAGTGAATAGAAAGAAACAAACCTGAACCACTAAGACCAGTAATCCATATGGCACAGCCTTTCTGCTGAAGTAAATGTTGCCTATCAAGTTTCTCCACTGGGCTTTTATGCCACACAATGTTTGTTGGATTCTCCATGGTTGACATCTGGCGCAGATTTCTACCTAGTTAGATGGTTGGTTTCAATTAGAACCCTAAATCCATCCATTGAAGAACAGTAGGTTTCCTGATAAACCATAGCTTAACTAACAACATTCTAGAACAATAACAATATTCATCCTCAAGGGCTGAGAATTTTGCTTCAGCTGAAGTTTAACACCCATATATTTCATCAAAGTGTCAATAGCATATAAAATGATTAATTCTGCTCATAGCCTCCATAATCTAAAAGCACCGATCCTTAATCAATTTTCTTTACGAGAATTGAAAAGAAAAAAAATTCTACAAAAAGAAAAAACCGCAAATATTCACCAGATCTGTCATCAGAAAACAGGTACTTTGAGGCTCAAAGAAATATGAACATTCAATACACCATATTCAATTCAAGGCCAATTTATAACCAACACCGCAAGAAACCCACAATAACTGAAAATAAATAAATAAATAAGCAAGGTTTTTATGGTTGCTGAATCATCAACCTTGTGCGACGGACTTGAAATGCTTTAATTGTGCTCAAAATGGGCCGCTGGTGGCACTGAGGAGAGTTGGCAGCATGAATGTTGTATACAGAAGATGAAGATACAAAGACGGGTTGACCAAAGTAATGACAGTATGGCATAGGAGAAGAAGAAGAAGAAGAAGAAGAAGAAAGTATAAACTAATCACTAATCACTAACAAGCACTAAGACTCAGCCCACCATAAAAACAAACTAAGTACGAGTCCATAACCAATCATTTAACCCACCTTCCTCGTCCATTTTATTCAAAAAAGTAATTTTTTTTTTTTAAGTCAATTTTGCTGTTACAAGGGAATTTTGCTCTAGAATCTACTTTTCTCCCCCACCCAATTCTCACCCAAGGCTCAAGGCCAAAAAGAAAAAGTAATTTACGAAATACCAAACATATCTTTAAAAATTAAAAAAAACAGAGAGAAACATTCAAAACTCCTGACTCTAAATTGAAACAGCAAAATGCCCAAATAAATGTTTCATTAATTAGAAGAAAAAAAATCCAAAAGATAAATGTTGCTTCCACAATGCAAGCCAAACATTACAACTGGCATCAAATTTTAAGAAAAAAACAGAGAGAACTTGAAATTGAAGAGAGTGGTACCAGAAATGGCGGCGCAATCATTCCTCAAAGAAACGCTAGAGTCCTCCATTGCCTGAATCGGTCTCAAAAACGTGGATCCAATCGCATTGCTTCCCTTCACCCTTAAAAAACCTAGCTTCGCCACCGACAACGACTGCACCGCCAACGGTCCAGATTCATCGCCCCGCGGCGGGCCACAAATCAACGGTGGCGGTCCTTTCACCACCGCACTCATTAATTACCAAAACGCCAAGATCAAAAGCAAGCAATTTCTCAACAACCCGGCTTTTTAATTACGTATGTTTGTGCTTTTGGATTTTTTTAGTGCTTTGGTAAAATTAGAGAGCCGTGGAAAGCTCACATGGAGAGGGAGGTTGACTGGTTGTGCGCGAGAGGAAGTGTATGGTTAGCGAGATACGTATTGTTGAGACCAATGGCTCTGCTTCCATTTCTGAGCTTCTCTTCTCTACTTGTAGACAGGCTTGTAGGAGATGTAACAGAGAGCTCAGAGAGAAACGCAGTTGTGCTGCACAGCAAGGTTTATCGAGGGAAGGAAGTGTAGTGCCACGCGCTCTTATACAGAGTGGTACTAAGCTTGAGACCAGTTATAATTCGCCACGTGTTTCTTTGCTGGCAAAGATTTTACACGTGTTGTTTCTTTGGGAGTCCACTGGGACTCCGTGGGGTACACGTCCCTTCCATATTCTTTGTCAGTTTTTAAGATGTAAAAGTAAATGAACTAAAAAATTATACCTACTTATACATTAATATAATTATTTACTATTTGTTTGTAGGGTTCATTTTGCTTACGATATTAAAATTAAATAATTGATACTAATGTGTGAGATAAAACATAATAGTAAATAATGACAACCAATGAGAAAATGCATATGTAAAAATAATGTTTTGTGATGGTTACCTAAATTAAATAATTTCTCACTTCTATTTGGTGAATAATTATTTCCAACTTTACCATCAAATGTCAGCCAGCACCTTTAAAAAAGAAGAAAAAACACACGGCCAAGATCAATCACTTTCAGCCCTTACGTGGAGCCAAAACAAGGCCCACCCCAGCCAATAATCTGTTTGTATTGTACGTAATATATTATTCAAAGCACACATCTGTTACGCACTGCGCTCCTCCAATCCGCCATCTGTGTGATCCAGTGGTTCGCATAGTCAGCGCCACCAATGATTTCGCGCAATGTTGCGTACCCCAATACCCCATAGTAATCGTCACTTGACTCACTTGACACTTGGTTCAGTTTTTTGTTGATTTATAATCAAAAGCAGACCTGCATGGCCTTAATGGCAGGGGTTCGAAATCCGTTGGACGTACTTTGTGGTCAGGGGCAAGTCAAACTTCTAGCGAAGATTAATCTCACCCTTCGAGTATAGGGACATTTCGTGATATTTACTAAAAAAACAAACATAAATAAGACGTCGACCAAACTTATCCCTATCATAAGTGGCACAAAATATTTGGCCCAAGTACCTCAAATTGATATTTTTGTATGTTTGCGAGTTTGGTGGCAATTGACATAGAAGCCACTAGGTGTTGTTGGCTCTCTTTTTGTGAATGTGATTAATCCAAACCAATCCTCTTATCATATTCGTCAAACATGAATTATGCATATAGTTTCACTTTCATGACTTATTTATTGGATATTATTTCGCTCTTTTCCTATTTGTGTACTCGATTGTTGTTTAATGCTAGGTTCCTTAGGCGTGGGAGTTTCAGTTGTAAGCTATGTGAGACGTCAATGAATAAAAAAATGAAAATAACTATTCTTAAATCCCTATCAGGGTAAAGTTGTAGAGATCAAGTCTCCTCAATTAGCCTTCTTTCTAAGTTTTCTTTCATTATATTCAGCATAGGCTTCTCAAGGGAAAAAATAATAATAATAAACCCAGTATGTACCTCATTCCTCATTTTTATAAATCATAGATTGACGCATTATAAATCTAACCATTCTTCATTTTCTCTCCAAAGAAACCCTAGCCACTCTCTCCCTCTGTGAGTCCTAAAGGAAAACTCCATAGAGGGGGGAGGAGGAAGAAGCGTCACTGCTCCTCCTCCCCCTCCCTTCTTCTCGTCTTTTTCTTTTAGGTTAGTGCAAAAGTCCACTGGGGCGTTTTTAAAAAAAGCCCCTTGTGGTGGTTTCTTTTGAGCCATGGTTAGATTAAAGTTCCCCGTCACCCATTTTAGTATATGTTCTCAATCAAATCCTGCTCCCAAATCCCGCTCCCTGACATCGCTCATGTTCTCTAAATTTGATTATACATCGTTTTTTATGGAGGTTGCTACAAATGACCCAATTATTCTTTGGCAAAGTTGTTTTCATTTATTTGTTACTCTTATGCGTAGGTAGATCATTGAGAATCATATTTTCCCCAGATCTGTTACGGATGCAATGGTGGGTTAGGGTTCGTGTAGGCTTATGGGTTGTTTTAGAGTTTTGGTTATGTTAGGTTTGTGGGCTTTGTTTGGGCTTTTGATTAACTGGTTTAGTTTTTTGTTGATTTATAATCAAAAGCAAACATGAATGGCTTCAATGGTAGGGATTTGAAACTCGTTGGATGTACTTTGTGGCTAAGGGCAAGTCAAACTCCTAGCGGAGATTAATTTCACCTTTCGAGTGTGGGGACACCTCGTGATATTTACCCAAAAAAATAGACATGCAAGTGGCACAAAACATTTGGCTCAAGTACCTTAAATTGACATTTTTGTATGTTTCCGAGTTTGGTGGTAATTGATGTAGAAGCCACTATGTGTTGTTGGCTCTTTTTTGTGTGAATGTAATTAATCAAAACCAATCCTCTTATCCTATTCGTCAAACATTAATTATGCAAATAGTTTCACTTTCACTTTCACTTTCACTATCATGACTTATTTGTTAGATATTATTTCGTTCTTTTCCTATTCGTGTATGCGATTGTTGTTTAACTTTATGTCTTTTCTTTTGTTTGTTAGGTTCCTCAGGCGTGGGAGTTTCAGTTGTAAGCTATGTGAGACGCCAATGAATAAAAAAATGAAAATACTGTAAGTTCTAACATGTATTTGAATCTCAAATACTAACCTTGATCAGACATTGTGAATAAGGATCTTCTTCTCCTACTTGGCTCTTTTTCTCTATATTTGAATAGGATAAGTTTTCTGTTATGAGTGTGTTTTAGCCGATAGGGAAGGGCCATATTTATAAGCATCTGTTCCAATACCTTACCCATCAAGAAGTACGCGAACAAATTCTGTTTGCTTAGGAATATGATGTTTTTAATCCATATAGAATTAGGAATCCTTAAGATACTCTTATCTAAATGTAAACGCACTATTTGATTGAGTATCCTACTAGTATTAGGATTAATACTTCCTGATCAATTAGAGCTCCTCCAAACCAAATATGATTAGAAGACCACAACTTAGACTAAGACATAGATTTGTCTTACAGTCTCCCACTTGGTCAAATAATCACTAAGGAAAACTCGTATTGATCACTTTAAGGCCTTGTGAAAGTATATCCAGATAAAACTCCCACTAAGCCACTATCAATAAAGACAAATTATAAGAGAATATCAAGACTTATTGATCATACATTTATCAAAGTCTTTATAATCACACTTAAAACTCTTCAACACCACATAAGGCTTCGATCAAGATTAAAACTGTAGAATGTAGATGACCTTACTGAAAGTGCTTTAAACAAAAGTCATCTAATTTCTTTATCCTTGTAAATGACTACCAAGGTCTCAATTTGCATAACCAAAACAGCAAACTTTCATGAATACAATCCTCTCATGGCTACCTTAAATGCATACTATGCCATCCACATATATTCAAGTAATCACATGTGCATATAAACTAGATTGCATAAATATACTATATTTGAATCCTTAAACTGAAAATCATCCAAATTAAAACACCACTTTATGAATTTAAATAGAAAATAGCAAAACTAGTTAAACTACCAAAACTTGATAATGAAAAAAACTCCCACTGTTTTAGTCATCCAAATGAACTGTCAATCCCATGCTAGTCACATGTCTGTGAAAAACAACATTTGGTAACCCCTTAGCAAGTGGATTTGCAACCATTTCATTTGTGCCAATGTGCTCCAACACAGTATGCCTATCTCTAATCTTTTCTTTGACAACAAAGAATTTAAATTCCAGAATTCTTGATGCCTTCGTTCTTTTATTCCCTTTTGAAAAAAGTTGTGCTGCACTGTTATCATTCCAAAGTTGTATAGGTCGTTGAATTTATTCAACCACACCCAAACTAGTGATAAAGTTCTTTAACCACATAGCTTGATCAGTCTTTAGTGCTTGATCAGTACTAAATTTATCTCCTTTCGAAATAGGGACATCTGACCCTGCATAGCCTTGCATGTTAAACCTTTTGAGTATCTTTTCTATATAAGTCTTTTGTGATAATCCCAAAAAAATCTCTCTTTCTATTTATGCTAATTTCGATTCCCAAAACGTATGAGGCTTCTCCTAAATCTATCATGTCAAAATGTTTAGCCATAAATGCCGAAATGTTTAGCCATAAATGCCTTGCAATAGTGTAACATGGACATGTTAGTGCAAGCTAGTAGAATGTCATCTACATAAAGAATCAGAATTATGAAATGACTCTCACTCATCTTCATGTAAATGCACTCATCTAAGACATTCTCTGTAAAACCATATAGTTTAACAACTTCATTGAATCTTATATACCACTGTCTAGATGCTTGTTTTAGACCATAGATTGATTTGCACAACTTGCAAACCAGATTTTCTCCCTTATCTTGAATGAAACCTTTTGGCTGTTGCATATAAATTTATTCCTCCAAGTTTCCATTCAAGAAAGTAGTCTTAACATCCATTTGATGTAAGTGTAAATCAAAATGAGCTACTAGAGCCACGATCACTCGAAAGGAGCCTTTTGTTGAGACAGGTGAATAGGTTTCATTGAAATCAATTCCTTCTTTCTGTGTGAACCCCTTAGCAACCAATTTAGCCTTGTACCTATCTATCTGTCCCTTTGAAATTCTCTTCGTTTTGAACACCCACTGTCACACCCCAATTATTATTATTATTATTTTTTTTTTTTGGGAGTGTGAGGTAAAAGAAAAATTAAAACTAAAAATTTAAATATCAAGAAACACGAAAATTGAACATAAACTTCTATTTAAGTCAAAGTAATTTAGATTGTAATTTTACAAGCAAAATAACAAGAAAGTAACAAACTTTCAACAAAACATTCAAAACTATCCACAACCCGTTCTTCTTATTTCTTAAGCAAAAACTAAACTTCAGATTCAAAGCCTGCAATATACTCAATAAGGGGTGAGCATTACATGCTCAGTAGGGGTCCTATGTTTTATATAATTAGTGAGATTCATAATGTAAAATTTATGCAATGCATGAATGAACTTCATTTCTACCCAACCCGTTAATCTATATAATAGAGCAAGCAAATCTGCATGTCTCATACTATGCATTTTACCATTGTGATTCTGAATGCCCCATTATATAAACTAACACCCATTTCAATCATTCCATAATTTCCCTTTTGCTAGTCATATTGTCTAACCATTGATCTCCAAGCCCAAATCACCCAATCAACAATTATACCGCCGATTTCCTAATCTACTGTGCACACGGGCTCGCCTGAACTTGGTCTCTACAATGGTTAGACTCAACTGCACAAAAGATTCTTCCCATTATCCTATTTTTCATAATTTCTTTATCAACCCAAAAATCCCAACCACCACTGACAACATATGAATGTGTCAATATTAATCAAATTATAATGATAATTGACAACATGTATACATCCAATATCAAGGATAACAATCAAATAATATAACCAAGCATAATATAGTATTTACAATAATAATCAAATAATATTACCAAGCATAATATAGTATTTATAATATTTAATTAAATCAATGTATGCAAAACCTCCCTAAGAAAAACCCCTACCTCAAATCCAAAGCTATTGTATAACTCCCAGTTGTAAGTTCAAATACTTTGCTTCTCCAAAATCTCACCACACTTAGTTCTCTTATTTTCTTTTGTCTACGATTTTTTGTAAACTACTATAACTTGAAGAACCTATGATCCAATAACTATTAGGTCGGGCTATTTATAGTAAGCTAGAGTCAGTAAAAAAAAATATAGATGAAGCTTAACATTGTGCCACATAACTAGCCTAGGGATTTCTAGAATACATCCTAGGATTTATAGACTACATGGGTGGCTAGTAAACTGCCGCCCCAATTAATCTTAGGTGCTGGCTCTAGAGAGTGCTTAGTAAGCACTTTCCAATTACATTTATATATACAAGACTACCTATTGTTCTTACACCTCATGCTAATATTCACCACCTCATGCTTATTGTGGTTTTTGAGGACTCTAAAAAGCAACATGTCAAACTTAGGAAAAACTTTAGTAAGCTATATATATATATATATATATATAAAATTAAAACTATTAATTTTAAATATTTAATTTCCATGAAATATTAGTATACATATTTAAAAATATGGGGTTTCACAATCTATCCTTCTTAAAAGAAATTTTGTCCTCGAAATTTTGAAACGTACCTGATTCAAGGAAAAGTTCTGGATATTTTTCTTTCATCTCAGCGTCTAATTCCCATGTAGCTTCTTCTATATTTCCATATAACCAAAGAATTTGACTAGTGGAATAGTCTTCGTTCGCAACACTTGTTCTTTATGATCTAATATTCGTATTGGTCTTTCCTCAAAAGATAATTGCTCATTTATGTTTAGTTCTCCCTAATCTAAAACATGTGCTGGATCTGGTTCATATTTTTGAAGCATAGAGACATGAAACACATTATGAACATTCGAAAATTGAGGTGATAGTGCTAACTCGTAAGGTACTTCTCCAATCTATTTAGTACTTCAAAAGGTCCAATAAATTGTGGGGCTAATTTTTCAGACTTTCCAAATCTTTTAACTCATTTTCAAGATGAAACTTCAATTTAAGGAATATATGATCTCCCATATTAAACTTCAATGACCTTATTCTTCTATCAGCATAATTCTTTTGTCGACACTGAGCTGTAAGCAAGCGTTGTTTAATAGTTTTGATCTTCTCTGTTGTTTCTTGTACAAGATCAGGTCCTAATAATACAGTTTCACTTGCTTCTGCCCAACATAAAGGTGATCTACATGGTCTACCATAGAGTGCTTCATATGGTGCCATTCCGATGCTGGATTGAAAACTTTTGTTATAAGCAAATTCTGCCAAAGCGAGACGATCTTCCCAAGTTCCATGAAAATCCAAAGCACAAGCTCTTAGCATATCTTCTTAATCCCTATCAGGGTTTAAGTAAAGTTGTAGAGGTCAAGGCTCCTCAATTAGCCTTCTTTCTAAGTTTTGTTTCATTATATTCAACATAGGCTTCTCATGGGAAAAACAAAAAAAACAAGGGAGTTTCACTAAAACACCCAAAATGGGAGCTGAAATTATAAAAAAACTAAACAAACAAAACACTTTATAAACACACCCAAAAAATATACAATTGTTGACTTTGTGGTTAATTTTGGGTGTGTTTCTATGTTTAAATAGTGTTTGGGTTTTTTTATAAATACATGTCTAGGATTGGGTTTATTTATAAATTTGTAAAAAAATAAACCCAGTACGTACCCCATTCCTCATTTTTTAAATCACAGATTGACGCATTTAGAAATGGCTCATAAAAAACATAAAGAAATCTTATGGGATATATACCAAACTTTGATTAGTATGTAAATAGGAAATGCTAATCCAAGGGAAATGAGCAGATATTAAGGACAAGTCCAGAAATACCATTCGAAAGGAAAAAATTTAGAAAATGGTAAGGCCCAAGAAGAGATATGCATATAAATTGAGCTTCAAAAGGACCCAAAACCCCGAGAGGAAAAGTATCATGTATCGTACAATAAAAATCCTAAAAGTATCAATAAAAATGCCCGAGAGGAAAAGTAGTCACGTATTATACAATAATTTCTCCGTGATCAGCTACGAAAAAGGACAGGTAATTTACCGGATCCTAAACCCTATTGGATCACAATAGCTCCATCTTTATTATAGCCAATATCTCCTCCATACCTTATGATCTTGTCCTTGGAGGCAGCCTCTTTAGCAGAACCCGAAACCCTAAACGCCTTCTTCAATCCATTTATCAACCTCTCGCTGATTTTCTTCGTCGACCTCGGTGTCCCCTTACAAGAAGAAGACCAATTGCTAGTCCCTTCACTTCTCTCTGCTGATCCTTTACCAGAAATAATCCGAAAACTAGAGGAAGAAGCAGATGCTTTGTCACCCTTTGTTATCTTATTGCTATTCTCGTTAGTGCCATAATGAAAGCTCGCAGACCTACGTCCGTCCTCTAATAATATACTATTTTCTTGCTTCTCGTGACATTCATCCAACAGCTTCTTCATGCCATTGAGCTCCTCCTCCAAGCTCTGTATCCTCGAGCTCGTAGCCGCCATTGTGGCCCTCAGCTGCGCGGATTGGCGGAGCATTGTGTCGCGTTGGAGGAGAGAGCCTAGAGTAGTGGCCTCGCCGGCCGGCTCTATTAGTTTTTTGTTGTCATGATGAACACGGGGTTGGATTTGGGTGTGATCAGCTGCCACTGCTGCTGCTGCTGCTGCGGAGATAATGGTACGGCGAGTGTTGAGCTGCTCAATCAACATGGCTCGGACTACGAACCGTAGGGGCATTATGGGGTTTTGGACTGCATCCAGGAGGACTTGTGGTGAGAGCTTGCTACAGTCAATGGAGCTGCATATTTGAGTTTTCTCGTCCTCTGTAATTTTTCCACTGTATCTCTGTGAAGAAAAGAATCATATAAAATAACTTTTAATTGGTTTCTTTTCATTTTGAATAAATAAAAATATAAAGAATCAAAAAATGACACTTTATTTTATTTTTTTAATTCAACAATCTACATTATGGGGAGGGGCTCAATTAGCATCATTGAGGTTCGAACGGGTGCCATGGATGGAGGGAGAAGACCTCAACCACAGAGGTAAACCCCATTGGCCATATTTTATATATCTAACCAGGGCAAAATTATTCAATTTAAACAATTCTGTTAATTATATGTAGGTTTAAATATTTAGATTCAATTTTGACTCCTAGCTCTCAGCAAAAACAAAAATGGCATAAATGCGTGGCTAAATTGACACTTGCAAGTTACAAAGGACAAAGAAAAACATAAAGAAACATAAAATGATTGACTGCCTTACCACGAGATAAAGATCTACGAGCTTATAAACGACGTCGTGGTTCCCAAAACTGCGCTGAATGGCCCCGGCGACTATTTGAAAATCCTCGGGACAGACCGTTATAACCTCGTTCAACCAATCAGCACCGCCGTCACCGTCAATTGACAGAGCGAACGCCTCAATGCACCCACTCAGCAGAAACGCCGCCGTTTCTGCTTCGGGAAGCAAGGATAGGCACGAACGGAAGACAACGGATGCGTAATCTCTATTAACGGCTACTACTTGACGGAAGTAGGTGTCCGTTAAGTGGAGCAAGTTGTCATCCCCGTCACAGTTACTCTCCGTCATCTCAAGCAATTCCGCGGCTGTCCTTAGAGCCGCGAGGTTTAACAGCGTTATGACGAGGTGGGCTCCGTAACAGAATTCGGCCACGAGAGTGAACGTTTCGGCCGAAATGTTTAGAGGCAGCGCGAAGTCCGATACGAAATCGGTTAGTTGACGTTTTAAATATGTGCTTCTTGATGTCAGGGCATCCTATGAATGAACAGAAAATGAGAAAAGTATTTATGGATGTCATTGATTGGAAAATAAGTAGCATTTTATACGTTTCTGAATTCAAATGGACAAGACATGAAAACCAAATAAAAACATTGTATTATTATTATTTTAAATTCACTTGTGTTATTAAATCGACCTGTTAATTATACCATTTCAACTATAATGAATTGAAAGTTCTTGAGAAAATGTTTATTTTGAATATATATATATATATGGCATACAGATTCAAGTTCTCTATATTTAGATGCTATGCATTTACTCGCATTTCACAAATGTAGAGACTCGGGACTCCTATAGGATACAACAACCACATAAAGGTATCAAAACTCCTCTTTTGGTGCTTTGTGCTTCTTCATGAAGCAGTTTGATTTTTTTATAAAATTTCAACCAGTTTTTGCGAGATTAATATATAAAGCAGCTTCCATATGCATGTCTATAAATCACATAAAATCAATGGAGGCTTATCTCTTGCCACTTTACCCCACAATGACTATAGTTTTTGGGTCAAGATTTCGATCCCAACCAATATAACCAAAGTATTTTAACTTTTGCCCTAAAATTTTCCAATTTTAACAAACCAAATAGGCCAAACATCCCAATTTCAGATTCTAATTGTTCAACCTAGCAGGAGGACAATGTACCAAATATCCCACCCAATATAAACATAATTTCATCGTTTTCTCTCAAATGGCTGCCAAATTCTTTTCCTCTTTTACCTATCTCTCAAAATACAAAATCCAAAAAAAAAAAAAAAAAAAAAAAACAAAAAAAAAAAAAAAAAAAAAAACCATGTAAAAAAGAATTACAAAAGGCACACAAGATCAAAAGAAGAAGTATCAAACTTATAATTGACAAACCTTGTGTAGGTGGAAACATTTTCCCTGCACTCGAATCAATACTTCTGCTTTGTGCCCTGTTGCCCGAGACCTAAGAAACACACAAAACTATATATATAAAAGAACTAGATTTTGAAAATATGTAAAATAAAGGAAAAGAAGAGAGATGAAATACCATGATTCTACTCTAGAATGCAGAGGAGTGCAAGGAGAAGAGAGGGCTGGGGAGAGAGAAGGAGAGGCGGAGGAGAACTCGTAGTCTTCTTCCTCATAGATGGTCTCAACAACCCCCAAGTTCTTCCAACCCCTCATATTGCCTTTAGCTACTCTTCCTCACTATCTCTCTCTCTCTCTCTCTCTCTCTCTCTCTCTCTCTCCCCCCTTGAGAAACACAGTTTTGATTTTTGAACCCGTTTTTTATTGATGCAGCTTTAAATGCCATTAGGGTTTTTACCCTTTTTTTTTTCTTTTTTTTTTTGAAAGGGTGAAGAATTCCCTGCTGCTTCGTTAGGGTTGAATATTTATGGCGTGCATGTGATCACTCATAAATGCATGCCAAATATTCATTCCTTTTCCTTCAATGCATTTTTATAAATAAAAATAAAAAATAAAAAATAAAATTTTCGGTATGTATGGTTTCAGACCAAAATTCTGTTTTGGTGGGAACGTTTGATTTAAGAAATATCTGATTTGGACACCCTTTTAAATCGCTCTATATCACTTAGGAAATTGTTGAGGGCTTTCCTTCTACAGAAAGACTGGCTTATTGGGGCATGGCATGTGGTGAAAGTTTCAAGTATGTCAGCGAAAAAATTGTGAAGGTCTGCCGCTTTGCTTCGTGATCATGAAAACGTATATGGACTTTTGTATTCAAACAAATAATTACACATGTTGATAGTTTTTTATTGTTTATTAAGTGACTCATTGCATGTGACATATGGCTATATCAGTAATTTATGCAATCAATCGAAATCGGGGAGATGAATTGGCTTTCACGTCATGTCCACAATGCACGATTTAACTTGGAAAAATATAACAAGTCAATACTATTGAATTCGTTAATTTTATTGGAGTAAATTATGTGGCGGTCACACACAAAAATTACAAGTATAGAAAAAACATGTAAAAGTGAATACATGCATTTGGTTAATAGTGAAGTTTAAGGTTTAGGTTTTAGGGTTCGAGTTTAGATATTTCAGGTCAAGGAACTAAGGTATAGCGATCTGTGTATGCTAATGGTGACGTTTTGGCCTTCTAACTTAGTACACAATGTTCATCTTACACACAACATACCATCAACGGAAGCAAAAATATCAATACATGGAATAGAAAGGTTTGAACAATGGAAAATTGGCAAGAAACACGCAATGGAAATGGACAGTTAAGGCCACGGTGAAACAAAATACAACGAATTTTGGTTAAAATGGCACCACGTCCTATGTTTAGGGAACTTAACAATGATGAGATCGAACTATTCAATTGGACAACTGCTCCACATATCATGGAGAACCTTGTTCAAAACGAGGACCCAATTGTATTCCGTGCCGTGTTCGAAACGAGGCTTAAGTGGGCTTTATGGTACTATTTAGGCCTCAAACTAGGTTCCTTTTGTTTTTTTTGGTCGAAAAGGCCCCAGAGCAGCTATACAGCCTTATAAGTAGAACCCATAGCCAAATGCGGGCCTCATGTTCATCCGGCCCAATATCACCAATTGTGACCAACGGACAGACCGAAAACCTACTAGAACGACGTCGTCTGCTCAAATCTTCCCTTTATAAAGACAGCCAGAAAAAACCATAGCCAAACCCTAGGAGAGCGAAAATGAAGTACAATCCCCGCGTCACCAGCTCTAGGCGGAAGAACCGCAAGGCTCACTTCACCGCGCCGTCCAGCGTTAGGCGGGTGTTGATGAGCGCGCCCCTCTCCTCAGATCTCCGCGCCAAGCACAACGCCCGATCCATGCCGGTGCGCAAGGACGACGAGGTCCAGGTGGTGCGCGGGACCTACAAGGGCCGCGAGGGCAAGGTTGTCCAGGTGTATCGCCGCAAGTGGGTCATCCACATTGAGCGTATCACCCGAGAGAAGGTCAACGGTTCCACGGTCAACGTCGGCATCAACCCATCCAAGGTGGTCATCACCAAGCTCAGGATCGACAAGGACCGCAAGTCTCTGCTCGACCGCAAGGCCAAGGGTCGCGCCGCTGCGGACAAGGACAAGGGCACCAAGTTCACAGCTGAGGACATCATGCAGAACGTTGATTGATTTCATTTTGGTTTGTGTTTTTGTTAGTAAGATTAGCGACAGTCAAATGAGCTTTTATTGTAAGCACTTGAATTTTCATTATGCATTGATGGATTTGGCGTTTAATGATCTCTTTGAGGGTCTTTTGAGGCATGGATCTTGTCCTCTTTTTTTATGCTATGGTATTCCTGGAAATAGTTTTTGGATTTATTTATTTATCTATGCCTATGTTATATGCTTTCATTTTGATTATGATTTTGATTGATTGCTGGTTTGTGATTTCCCTGCTGATAGTTTTTTATTTGCATCATATATATGTCATTCCAAATGAAGGGTGGTATATTTATTGTGTTCAATACCAGTGTTATATGCTTGGTCTTGCATATGAGAAGAGGGAATGTGTGAATCTACAATCTACAATGTGATATAGGCCTTGTTATTGCATATGGACTAGGGTTTTTGCTGCATTGATGATTTTGCCTTCAGATTGAGATTTTGGTTACTCTAGGACTTGATTTGACATTGGTTTAGCTACTCTAGAATACAGATAGATATCTTGACTCCGAATTGTGCGTGTGCAGTAAATCACTTCAGTGATGACAGCTTAATATCATACTAAAATGGAAGTAAGGGAATGTCATTACATAATGGGCAGTGAATCCGTGATCTGATGCGTGTGGGTTTAGTTGTTTTTTTAGATACTGTAGAATAATAATGTGTAAGGTGTTTCAGTTTTAGGAGCCATCAAAGGTTAATTTTTCATGTTCTGTTCTCTGCGTTACAGTTGGTTCTAAGCTTGTCCAACAAACTCGTCTCTTCCGTCTTAGTAAGAGTATATACATTACTCACTAGAAGTGGTTGATAACTTTCTCGTTTCTTCTATCTTAGTAAAATTATACATGTCTTGTGGCATATTCCTATTATTGTCAAATGATGAGTGTGAAAACAAAATTTGTCTTTGCCGTGAGCATTTCTTTATAGTCTCGTGGATTCGTTGAAGCTTCAAAATGATCTTGAATTAGCAAATCTTGGTGCTTTATCATCAGTCTGCATAAATAATTGCGTTTGCTTTTCTCAATCTCACTCATCGATGAGAATGATAAGAAGTAGTTTCGCCTAGTGGTCTTAGGATTGGAGAATAAAACTGATTTTTGTGCCATTGATGCATTGTTGTATGTATTGCGCTTGTATCATATAATATTCAGTTCCCTATTGGATCATTTCCTTGCTGTTGATTGAGATCCTAACTTGGTATGGTTTGTTTTCTTTTCATCCCAGCTTTTTGGCATTCTTGTTGCATTCGCAGACTAAATTCAACTTTTTGTAGGATTATATTATTCTAGTCAAGTAACAGATCCCTACTACTCATTTCTTTCTAGCTCTCTCGTTCAACCCTCTACTTAAATTTGTCTAGTTCACCCATCGCATACTCTGTAGATATGCCCCACTCTGCAAATCCCTTGATCGCAGTCTGCTAGGCACAACTTACGGCCGACAACTGATCCGACTGTGTAGATGGCTCACGCTGCGAAGGATAAAATAGTTATATTATGAAATTTGAACGTGCATCGAGCACGGCAGTTTGCAACTCAACTCTCCCCAGCTATTCTGAACAAATTGATTTTAGTACACCCAACACTTGAAACGATGACCACAAAGAGTTTAACTTGTATCAGTATCCTAGTTTATTTATTTATTCATTATTATTGTTTTTTTTTTTGAAAGTATCCTAGTTACTGATTCTTGCTTCGTAGCGTGGTGGCTGAGTTTGTTTATTGGTTCTGAATGTTGTTTTATGTCCTAACTTTGTTCCTCTCTTTCGACTTTTGGCATAGTTTTGTTCCTCTCGTTCGACTTTTGGCATAGTTTCTTGTAGTAGCCTTTTGACTTGTTTGCTGGGATTTTTTCTCCATGTTCTTGTAGCTCTTTCCTTCTTATTGAAACGAAAATTTCCATAATAGTTGAGATCGGTAATCTTTTATTTATTTTGCGAAAGGATGGCTGGTGTAAGTTAAAACCCGGCGAAGTAAGGACTTAAGGGTGACTCAAACTAGCGAGCCTAACCAAATTTTAGGTCGGGCTTAGGTTTAGTCGAATTTGACCTTGGCCAGCTAATTTTTAAAAGGATAAAAAGGGCAAGAATAAAAGAGCAGTTATACTGCATTCCCAAACGTACTTTTATCTGGTATGCATATATTGTTACATCAACTCAAATATGCCTAGCGCCCAAGTTTACTGTCATTACATGATGAACTTGGACCAAAAGCCGTTTAAAATCGAGCTAAAGATTCAGCGCATGAAATATGCTAATGCCACATATTTGAGACAGGCTTTATGAGAAACTAGAAAGAAACTAACCACAACTGGGGCAACGTATAATTTGTTGGCAAGATCAATTTTGCATTTATAAAAACCATTGGAGTAACTTTCGGCAGGTGGATTCATTCAAACAGACAAGTGGCATAACACCTGGCACAACATGTGTAAAAAAATTCTCTATCAATCATAATTCTAAGGTTTCTCCATACAAGGAGACTAGAATGTGCAACGCCTTAGCGACCTACAGTTATAAACCAAAAGAATATAGAGAAAAAGAACAAAAGAAGACCACGGTAGAGCCCGAGCATCAAACAATCCATCCACAGTGATCAAGGACTAGGAAACATGTTTCTGTGGAAACTAATTATTAAGTGCTCCTCTCAAGAGCCAGCCAAAAAATTGAACCAGGTATTACGTTCCAGCAAGGCATCATTACCGCCTAAAAATCACGGCTTGAGGGCAATGGCCACTCCAAACCTGGGATTTTTGTCGAGGGCCTTGGTGTCGATCTCCCCAGATATTGTCAGCAACGACTTTGGTATGACCTCATGCTGCAGGAGGGCCCCCAGCTTTCCATGATTGTTGAGCTTAGCTTTCACTACAGTCAGAAGATCAATAGCATATGACCCTCCCACTGTGAAAGTGTTCTCGTTTGTGGAAAACTTTCTAGTGATCTCTCCCACAGTAGCAGTCCTCTTCAACACATCCAGAAAATGCACATAAGATGCTCTTATACTGTCTCCCTTGTCACCCCTGAGAGAGAGAGAGAGAGAGAGAGAGAGAGAGGATATCAGAATATTAAGACTAGAAAAGTTCCAACCATTCTAAATACTTACAACAAAAGAGAAAGAAACAAAAATTGCTTACGATAACAGAGTTTAAACTATTGTCTTTGATTATGGTTATGGTACAATCACTTACAGAATTATTGAAGCAGACTGGTCTGGTTTGTTCACGCTAATTCCAGCAGTGTACTTTGTAAAGTTTCCAGATGTAGTGTCATAACCCCCTTCTGCACCAAATGCAATGGTTGGGGTACCAATTGTGGCTGAAAAATCAATGGCTGGCGATTGATTCAAGGCAATGGCTGTAGTGAAGGTTGCATGGTCATGGAAGTACTGAACCTCCAACTACAAAATAAAGGCCAAGTAATTATTATATCATTAAGCACAATTTCCAATATAGAGATTTATTAGTCTAAAGATCCCAGATTTTATACCTTGCCAGAGTTATACTCAGGTACTTTGAATGAAGCAATAGTCTTTGTTGATGGGACAATCTCATTGATTGTGAAGGTTGTCGAGATCTGCCAAATTGAGAGGGAAAAGTGGACACGATTAAAACAACAAGAATATTGCTTGTAACATATTCAACAAATGATGCAACCCACATTTGATTCTGTGTCAACTTTGACATCAACCACAGTGTTCTTGTACTTGTATTGTGTCACAATGTCCCCAGTGGAAAGTCCTCCTTTCTTCACCGCTGTTGACGTGAGGGCCTAAAAGGGGCAAAAGGAAGAGGTTTGGAACATGAACTTATATTATGGCTCAAATAAAAAGGAATAAACGCACAAGACAACTTCCAGGAAGAGACGCACAAAGAACCAACACTACTATAATCTCAAGGTTTACTTGATCTAAAAGAGTTGTACTTTCCACTATTAATCAACCTGAATACTAAGCAGCCAACAGTTTTATTGCCAAACTAACATTCTAACTCAAGCTTTTGAAGCTTCAAAAGGGTAAACTTGAGAATTTAAATCTGACCAGCATGGATCTTGAAGCATGGTAGGAAATGAAAATTATGAGTTGTAAACATCAATTCAAATAATAACTGTGATACTATTAATAATAACAAACGATGGACACAACTCAACAGAAGAAACAAGATATCCCTTCCAGCTCGCTACACAAGGACTGTAAGGGTTGACACTTCAGGTGTCCACTTTCATGAAGCAAATACCAAAAGTATAGAAGGTACTACGAGCTTAAGTTTTGAAGCTTCAAAACAATATTGCTTAAATATTAATCAGGGTGAATCTTAAAACATAGTTGTGAGATTTAGCTTATAACATCATTTTAAATAGTAACTGCAATCATATTCCCTGCACACAAGAGTCTAAACCTATAATAGAATGAGAAAAAGAAAATAGCTGCACAGGGAGCGACAACAAAGAGTAACATCTTCCAAAACCAGGCAATCCGCAGTTAACAACACTGCACATCCACACATGAATAGGGGGAAGGTTGAGACATTATATTTTTTTTACAAAAATCCCAAAAGAGAAGAACTTCAAGCACAAAACGCATGAAAACTTGACAACGACTCCCCCAATCCATCCTCTCCCATTTTTCAGGAAACAAAGATAAGGACATACGTAACTGTTCAACAGCAGAAAGGACAAATTGTACACCAAAATTTAGTACTCCAACCTCAAAAGAATTTCTAGATGCAACAACAGTTTAAACATACTTATCAAATGCTTATTAAGTGAAAGTTGCAAAGCAAAAAAAAAAAAAAAGGTGAAATATAAAACATAACTTATTAAATAAACAATTATAATATAATATAAAAGTACTGAATAGGCATAACTGAGTTCCTTGGAGCACAGCTACAAATCACAGAATGACTCAATTATCAAATGCTTAAGACTCCATTTCGAACAAGATGATAAAAATAGCATACGATTGCCAATATCATCTAACGAAGGAAAAAGAAAGAAAAAAAAATACCGATCCAAACCCTAAAATACGATCCAAAAGTACATTTCTCAATTATTCAATTAGATACACACGTTTTCTGTGCCAGTGAGGCTACATACATATCAAATCAGAGCTTAGAGTGCCTACCACACCGGCATCGCTGTAGGTGGAGACGGTGAACTTCTGATCGGAGTTGTAGTCCTTCGTTAGAAGATCTGCAAACAAAGCCAAAACGCAGCGTTTTCAACAGAAAATTACGTAATCGAGTCAGCGCAGAACAGTAAAAAGATGGAGAAGAGAAGTGAGTGATCAGTAGAAAAACCGATTCTTTACCTTTGGCCTTTTTGCCGATGTCGGAGAAAAGTCCAGGTCCCTTGCTCATCGTTGCAGAGACGGACAGAGAGAAAGAGAGAGTGTAATTTTGGGGGAGAGAGAGAGAGAGGTGAGGAAGCGAAAATGAAAATGTAAAGGGCTTGCTTCGTTTATTTTCGTGGTGGCAAGTTTGTGCTCTTATCGACGGTTGTCAATGTCTTCTGGTGCCACGTCTCTTTCCAACCGTTGATTTCAATACCCCAAACCTCAGGTACACCTTTCTGCTTCTTCTCTTCATCTTCTTCTCTTCTTGATTTGTGGAATTAATTAGTTATTAATTTAGGGTCAAGAAACAAGAATCAATGATTTGATGATTAACTTAACAAAAAATTACCAGATGAATCACTAATAATTTAATTTTTCAAAAAGAAACACACATAAGTTAATTTAAGAAAATTCGAGCATAAATTAAATAGGTTAATTTTATGAAAAATATAAAATAGGAAAATTCATGGTACAATCTTCGTTGGGCTCACAGCCACATGAATGAAAAGCTAATCCAATTGAAAGCACTTTGGGCCTAAAAAGGAATTAAAGTCAACTTTTCATCGGCCTGCTTGTTGAATTATAAAATGATACGATGGCAGTTGTTTTTGAATCAAATGAAGCAAAGCAATGGCTTATCAAGCATGGCCATGTTCAAATTGAATTCCAATCCAAATAGGTCAAAGAGGATGTTTCCAGGGGAAAATAGGGATGTGGTGTTATTTATTAATTATAGTGTTAAATACAAGTGAATGACATGATGAGTAATAAATAGATACACGTGTTATAATATAAGTGAATTGATAACACTACGTGACGGTGTGACGGTCACATGAATAGTTTATCGTTTCAAAATTGTCTATTCAGCTAGATTATCTAACTAACTACGAGTTGATATTTTAATTGTAAATTACACAAAGTTTGATGCTAAAGTAAGCATGAATCGTGATTAATAATGTGTTAGGAGGATTATACACGTTTGAGAGATACCTCTTTTGTTTGTAGTTAATTGCATGCTATGGAAGAGAGGGCTATAGGTAGTACAACATTTCAAAGATTTGACTTTGATCAATCTTATGTGCATGCATGACAGGGAGTGGGAGACGCTGAAAAATATCGGACCAAATTGCCTCAACATTTCGCATGACCTTTGGTGCAACTGCAACTTGTGTGACTTAACATAGTCCTTGGGAAGGGGTTAGACTCTGGTTTCAAAAATTGCTGGTACTCTTTTTTTGCAAGGAATCAAGAAAATAGTTGTTGCATCCTCGAGGATATAAGAAATTAACATGCGAACTCAGGCTTCCTTCCAAGTTCCAACACTAGCTAATAATTTATTTATTATTTTTAATTTTTAAAATGACTAAAACTTCTGAGTTATTTTATATGACTAATTTGTAATCTCCTATCCTATTATAATCTTCATTTATACCGAGAAGCAAGACATACATGATTATTTTAAATTGTAACCATGTGTGAAACATTTAAAAAAAAGTCAGAAAACATCTACCATTCAATCAATTATATTACAATTAGAATGGCCATGTAGATGTCGCTCGTCACTTACATTATAATTTTAAAAAATGACCATACAATTAATAAACACTTCAATGAAAATACTTTAAAGTGACTAATACTTCGATTCATACTCACTTTGATTTCAAATTAATAAATATGTCATAAAAGTTTGGCATAGTGACGACACTTCATTGCTAAAGTTGGGAGACGTAATATGTGCAACAGATAAATATAAAATTAGTGCGAGGCCTGTTGGGACGTGAGCAGACTCTCTAAAGTAAAGACTGTTGGAGAAATTTCCGTCTTTTTTTTAACTTTTATGAAAAAAGGGATTTTGGTACGGCAGATCTCAACTCCCAAGTCTTGGTCATCTTTGCTGATATACGCGTAGCCAACGCGCAGTAGCCAGATTTTTTTAATTTACTTTCAATAATTCTCTTTACATCTTTTATCACATCGCGTTTACTTTTTCCAAGAAATGTAACGTGAACTTTATTTATTTCTTAAATTATCGTGTTGGGTCTGATTTTTTCATTTTGGAAGAAATAATTGCTTGAAATCAAACTCTATATAATGACATCCAACACTTGGAAATTTGAGAGTTGAGTATTGACCCCGGTGAATGTTCCAAAAGACTAGGAAAGAGCAACAATGAACCGCCATTAGCTCCCAAGCCGTGTAATTGTAATTCCCACCAGAATTTCGGATCCTCATTCGTTGTTTTACTGGTCCTTGTTCTTGTTCCTCCACTCAGTCTTTCCTATTTTCTATTACCCAATTGAACACAAAGCTATTCCATTCGTTTTGTCCAGTCCCCGACCCACTATCTTTGATCCTTCTCAGAAATGTCACTGAAACTTCCCTTTCTGAAAAGTGCTTTTCCTACCCAATTTCCTGCGCTGCTTGTCTATGAACTTTGAAGTACATACGTTGTGCAACATCTATATATATATATATGTGTATGTTTGATCCTGTAAGGAGATAGTTTAATAAAAAGGTGAAAGAAAGGTAATGATTTTTTTTTCGGTCAAGAAAAAACGGGAATGATGGAGAGTTATTTGCAAGAGTTCGGGGAAGTGAAGGCAAAGCATTCGTCTGAAGAAACGTTACAGAAATGGAGGAACCTTTGCAGCGTTGTCAAGAACCCGAAACGAAGGTTTCGCTTCACTGCCAACATTACCAAGCGTAGCGAGGCTGCTGCTATGCGCCGTACCAATCAGGTTTTTGTTTCTTATCTCTGCTGTGCCATTCTTCAGAGGGATGGACCCATGAATTTTCAAATCGGCGGGCTAAATTTACCCTTAAGTACAAACCTATTAAGAAAATTTGGTGGGTTTTTGTAGATTTTAAGGCTTAGACAATACATTGTAGGAACTAAAAACCAGACGAAACATTTAGTTCAGCCCAAGCCCACACTCAACCCCTTCACTCATAGCTGAAAACCCCATTTAAGATCCTAAAACGTTATAGCCTAGGTTAGTAAGAAAATTCATGCTGGGCTAAATGTTATTTTAGGCTGAGAAAAAATATAAGCCCCCCGGGCTGTAGCCCGGGTTAGGTTGTACTAAGGTTCGTGCCTTGTTCTTCTCCTTCCTCTTCTTCTTATTACAAGTGCCTTATCCTTATGTGCTCCCAGTGTATATTATATATTAATAATACAAATTTATAAATAAACCCAATCCTAGACATGTATTTATAAAAAAACCCAAGCACTATTTAAACATAGAAACACACCCAAAATCAACCCCAAAGTCAACTTTTTGGGTGTGTTTATAAATGGGTTTTGAGTGTGTGTAATGATGGGTTTTGGGTGTGTTTATATGTTTAAATAGTGCTTGGGTTTTTTTATAATTTCAACTCCCATTTTGGGTGTTTTAGTGAAACTCCCTATTAATAATATGCTATGCAAATAAGGGCTTATAACTCAATTGATCACGAACCTTTGTCCCTATATCTGAGGTTATCATGTTCGATTCTCCTTCTTTAATATCGCTTGTATAAATACACAAAAATAAAAATAAAATGGTATGCTATTTTTTGAATAAAGAGAACAGAACAGGGCTGTTTGATTAGCTGTAGTACATACTCTGCATTGAAGGAATCGGGTTACTAAACAAATTATGAAACCGGAAGTATCAGTACGATTACATAAGGAATGAGAAATATAGCATGCATGCTCTATATAAAAAGGTCAAACGCGTCTTGGTTGGAGATGCTGTGAACTTGATATTCTTGAAAAATAAGGTCAACCCAATTCTTTTTAATTTGCACCCAAAAAAAAAAAAAAAAACAAAGGGTAGTTGACAGAATTGGATTTCGGTCATTCAAATCAAATTGGTCAGTTTTCAGGTGGTGCAATTTTTATTATCTTCTTTGGTGGTCACAACAAATATGTTTGAATTTTGAATCCTCTGCCGCCTTATTGACACAATTGACTGAATGTTATGGAACTTCTAGATCACGTTCAACCTTATCTGTTATCTTGGAGAAATCTCTCAGTGCTTAATGCAGTAATTTGTGATTAGAAATCACTATTGCCATTGGTTATTATGGGTGTCTTGCTGTAGTTCGTAGGGGTGCTATCGGTTCAAAATCATCCTTTTATCTCATCTTTCAATTTCCTTTTGCTCAAATTTTCGACCGGTCCTAATGCCATAGTAGGTGACTGCTACATGGTGTTGTGCTTAGTATATAGACTTGGTGTTGGGAGAATGAGATATAAGTTGCCATGTGGGAACTTAGAATACACTTGGTGATAGGAGAACAGAAATTTGCAATACCGGGGTGTGTTTCGTCCTCACCTCAAGAGATGACGAAGGTGCTCAGATTACATTTTTCAACTTCAAATTCTTTACTTATTTATTGATTACTTTGTGGTTTGAATTTTGCAGGAGAAATTGAGGATTGCTGTTTTGGTTTCTAAAGCTGCATTTCAATTTATTCAAGGTCAGTCTCTTCGGCATTAAGTTAAACATTATCATACATACTACAAGGTGGTTCATGCTTATTCTAAATGCCTAATGTCTGCAGGTGTGCAACCAAGTGACTACGTTGTACCTCAGGAAGTTACAGACGCAGGTTTTCAGATTTGTGCTGATGAATTGGGATCCATTGTTGAAGGCCATGATGTAAAGAAGCTGACATTTCATGGTGGGGTAGCTGGTATTGCAGAAAAACTCTCCACGTCAGTAAAAGATGGGCTTAATACCGAATCCGATTTGCAGACTCGCAGACAAGAGATTTATGGAATTAACAAATTTACAGAGAGTGAACAACGGGGCTTTTGGATATTTGTTTGGGAAGCCCTTCAGGATATGACTCTTATGATCCTCGGAGTATGTGCTTTCGTGTCTTTGATAGTTGGGATAGCAACGGAAGGATGGCCTATTGGTGCCCATGATGGCCTTGGAATTGTTGCAAGTATCTTGTTGGTTGTGCTTGTCACAGCAACAAGTGATTATCGCCAATCGTTACAGTTCAAGGACTTGGACAAGGAGAAAAAGAAGATTGTCATCCAAGTTACAAGAAATGGATACAGGCAGAAAATGTCCATTTATGATTTACTACCTGGTGATATTGTGCACCTTTCTATTGGTGACCAAGTGCCTGCAGATGGGCTATTTGTTTCAGGGTTTTCTGTGTTAATTGATGAATCAAGTTTAACTGGTGAGAGTGAGCCTATAATGGTAACTGCTGAAAACCCCTTTCTTCTTTCTGGTACCAAGGTCCAAGATGGATCTGGCAAGATGATGGTTACCACGGTTGGGATGAGAACCCAATGGGGTAAGTTGATGGCAACTCTGAGTGAAGGTGGAGATGATGAAACACCATTGCAGGTGAAGTTGAATGGAGTGGCAACCATTATTGGGAAGATAGGCCTTTTCTTCGCCGTTGTGACTTTTGCAGTAATGATGCAAGGATTGTTTAGTCATAAACTGTCTGAGGGGACACACTGGAGCTGGACTGGAGATGATGCAAGGCAAATGTTGGAATTCTTTGCTGTTGCAGTTACAATTGTTGTTGTTGCTGTCCCAGAAGGGCTGCCACTGGCTGTGACATTGAGCCTTGCCTTTGCCATGAAGAAGATGATGAACGATAAAGCACTTGTTCGTCATCTGGCGGCTTGTGAGACTATGGGATCAGCCACAAATATTTGCAGTGACAAAACTGGGACACTCACAACCAACCGCATGACTGTTGTAAAATCATGCATTTGCATGAATGTCAAGGAGGTGAGCAAACCCAGTGAAGCATCTAGCTTGTTCTCTGATCTACCAGAGTCTGCTAAGAAACTTTTGCTGCAATCAATATTTAATAACACTGGTGGAGACGTTGTGGTTAACAAAGAGGGAAAGCATGAGATATTGGGAACACCTACAGACACTGCTCTATTGGAGTTTGGCTTGTCACTTGGTGGAAATTTCCAAACAGAGAGACAAGCTTCTAAACTTGTTAAAGTTGAGCCATTCAACTCAACAAAGAAACGGATGGGGGTAATCCTGGAGCTTCCTGAGGGAGGTCTGCGAGCACACACCAAAGGTGCCTCAGAAATAGTTTTGGCCAGCTGCGAAAAGGTGATCAATACAAATGGCGAAATTGTTCCCCTTGATGAAGCATCCATCAACCATCTCGAAGTTACTATTAAGCAATTTGCTTGTGAGGCCCTTCGAACTCTATGTCTTGCCTACGTGGAACTAGAAAATGGGTTCTCTCCTCAGAATCCTATTCCTGTTTCTGGTTATACTTGTATAGGAATTGTGGGAATTAAAGATCCTGTTCGTCCCGGTGTCAAGGAGTCCGTTGCAATTTGCCGTTCGGCTGGTATCACAGTAAGAATGGTTACAGGAGACAATATAAATACTGCAAAGGCTATAGCAAGGGAATGTGGGATTCTCACTGATGATGGCATAGCCATTGAAGGCCCAGAGTTCAGGGAGAAGAACCAGGAAGAACTGCTTTCACTCATTCCTAAAATTCAGGTATTATCTCCATTTCCTTTTGAGTCACACAACCAGTTGGGTTTGCTTCTTACTGAGTAAGGTTTACGAATCTGTGAGACTGAAATTTGAGTTCCTCTGTAGGTGATGGCTCGATCCTCACCTCTGGACAAGCATACACTGGTGAAGCACTTGCGGACCACATTCGATGAAGTCGTTGCTGTGACCGGTGATGGAACAAATGATGCCCCAGCACTTCATGAGGCTGATATTGGACTAGCCATGGGCATTGCTGGAACTGAGGTGAGTATATATAACTTTGCAGTATAATGCTTTGTATGATAGATATCTTCGCTTTTGTTGGTGTTTCTTAATCATGAAGAAAGCGTTACAGAACAGACCTTTAGCTAATCGTACTCCCCTTCTTTCAGGTGGCTAAAGAGAGTGCTGATGTTCTAATCCTGGATGATAATTTCTCCACAATTGTGACAGTGGCAAAATGGGGACGTTCAGTTTACATAAACATTCAAAAATTTGTGCAGTTCCAGCTGACAGTTAATATAGTTGCTTTGATTGTTAACTTCTCCTCAGCTTGTTTAACAGGTTAGCATGCTCACATTTGATTTGTTGCCCACTTCTGTTATCAACTTCGACTTCCCATTCTTCTCATCATAGAAATCATTTCTCACTTCTGCTTGTGCTTTTGCACAAATTATTGTTCTTCAGGGAGTGCTCCCCTCACAGCTGTTCAGCTGTTGTGGGTCAACATGATCATGGACACACTAGGAGCACTGGCACTTGCAACTGAGCCTCCAAATGATGACTTGATGAAGCGTCCGCCGGTCGGAAAGAGACAGAACTTTATCACTAATGTAATGTGGAGGAATATTTTAGGGCAGTCTTTATATCAGTTTACAGTGATATGGCTTCTTCAGGCAAAAGGAACAGCAATGTTTGGTCTTGACGGACCAGATGCTCATGTGATCCTCAACACTCTCATTTTCAACACATTCGTCTTTTGTCAGGTAATCTTTTTCTAAAAGGTCTCATACTAATTCATGATAATTCAAAATTTTACCCTCTTGGATGTTTACTGCTACACAAAATGTGACCTGGTTCTGGTTGCAGGTTTTTAACGAGATAAGCTCCCGTGAGATGGAGGAAATAAATGTGTTCAAGGGCATATTGGATAACTACGTCTTCGTCGGAGTCCTCAGCTCTACAGTTCTGTTCCAAATCATAATTGTTGAGTTCCTGGGAAAATTTGCAAGCACAGCACCCCTCACATTGGCACAATGGTTCATCACTGTATTCGTTGGATTTTTAGGGATGCCAATTGCTGTTGGTCTAAAGAAGATTCCTGTTTGAACTACAAAAAAGTAGGGGTTGGATTTTTCTGTTTCTTTGTTAAGGAAAACAAAAATATTGAGGGAGTTTAGAAGCCTAAATTTGGAAACAGATCTCTTAAATTCCCCATCCTGCAAAGGTGCATGAGATGATGAACCATTATTGGTTTGGTTGTTGTCTATAAGCTAATGAATAGAATTAGCTCACAGTAGCTATTCTACCCAAGCCAAAGTCTCCTGTTTAACTAAATCCAATTGAATTCAAGTTTTACATGGTGAACACAAGGTTGATCTCCTGTATCTTGGCAAGTCCTGTAATTCCTCAGACTGTATTTTCTTATCTTTATGTAACTAGTTTTCTGCTCTGGCAATGATTTCTTTAATCTTTTTGTGTAATTCTCTTTTCTCTGCACTACCTACCTGTGAATCGTCTCTCAGAGAAAAACTTAGCTGTCCCAGTACCCATTGTTCCTATAGTCATCACGAACCAGCGTATACAAGAGTGGAGAAGATTACAGATTCATCCCTAAAGTGTAGTAATGCCATTTTCCCATGAACAAAGTTCCAATGCTGCTTCTCTAGTCAGTAAAGCAAGATACAGAAATAAACACAAAAGTCTTTCCGCCTAAAGGAATCTCTCAAGATTGCATGGCATTGGTATCATCTTTATCGCCTTCCTCACTGAACATGTAGCGACTCTGATACTCCATCAAGTATTGTGTTGATCTCTTCACATCCAAAAACAGATGGTAAACTAGGGTAAAATCCTCCATCTCCACAATATTTCGCTTCCGCTTTTGACATGCCAACAATGAAGCTGTTATGAGATGGATAGCATACCTCAAGAGTGCATAGACACCAATCTTGGTCAACAAATGCTTTGCCTTTTCAAACATCTTAACTTCTTCTTGGCATCGATGTCCATAATCTTACAAATTTCATCCTCTGTATAAGGCCGGGTGGTAATAATAAGCAGGCAATCAAGGAGATCAATGGGAATCCCATGGGGGGATTTGTAATTTGTGCCTCTGATTGTTGTGATCCCTCTGTTGGTAGCAACAACTAACAACTAATATTGGAGCCATCTCATTCTCCAAAGCACGATTCAAGAATGAAAAGCACTCAATGTCAAGCATGCACACCTCATCGATGAAGAGGATGCCTGGCACAATCTCTGCCTGCCTTCCATTCTTCCCTCCACTCTGCTACTTTTGTGTCAATTTGTTCTTTCACTTCTGAACGGATTTCACCAGTATCACCCGTAACGAGAGCCAGAAATCCCTGTGTCCTGGAAGAGATTGATATAATAATCAGAAAATGAAATATCAGATTAATCCACAGCCAATACTGTGTCTAAAAGAGAAGGATTGCAATGGATACATTTTAAGTTTTTCTATTTAAACCTTGCACTTCTCTTTGTTCACCTCATATTCTAAGTTCACCGCAACTTTTAAATTCAAATTTTCACAATTTCTAAGAAAACCTCACTATCTTCCCAGACTAACCCTAAATACACACCAAGCAGAAATAAAAATAAAAAAACTCATCAACCTCACACCCCACATCCCACTATCAAATGAACCAACAAGCTCTTTCCAATTTTCAATGCGATCTCGATATGGACTATACCAATCAAATGCTTGGAAGTTGGAATGATTATGTCTAATCAAATGTTTACAGATTTGGACCCCTACACGGACCAACATTCATCATTCTTGGCGCACAAAACATGGTAAAGACTTTGAATCTCTACCAACAACATGTTTACTGTAGATTTTCAGATCAGTTAGAGGAAACGAACAAGTAATTTTTTCATGACTGCTGGTAGGATAGCCAGGTACAGCACAAGCACGAGATGGACTGTGCTCAGAAAGATGAGCCGCGACTATTATTTTTTTGGGAAATAACAGAGCAGTGGGCTCTGTTTTATGTAACAAAGAGTTGTTGGCTATCCTTATATGGCTTTTTATTTAACCACAACAAAAATTACTTGCTTAATTTGAAGAAGTGTGGTGGTGTGTGTGGAGTTTGTATATAGATGTACTAGGGTTAAATATTAAGTTGGATGACCTTTTTTGTCTTTTTACACAACATAGATCCAAATTCGTATTGAGAAGTTGGGTTTAATCCTTGGGTCTAATCCAAGTCCTATGACTTTTGTGTCACATAGAATTATATTCTTTTTAAAATATTTTTTTTAATGTAATTTTTTAATATTTTATTTTTAAAATCAGTTTTTGTTCCAATGTTGCCCCTTATAACTTGAATCGGGCAATAATCATTTATGTCATATTGCCTATTGCATAGGTATATATATGTTTTTCATATTTTCAACAATGTGTAGTAGTATTTTATGTACCTTTTATTTTATAGGTAACATACAATTTTATTTTGTCTATTTTTTGTATCTGACTTATAAGTAGTCTTCTAATTTATGTTCCTAACTTATATGTAACATAATTTATCACTAAGTATTTTTTGTTGAGAATAATAACACTATTTACCTGTATGTCAAGTGCATAATTTAATATGGGTGATTGTCTGATCGATTGGTATAATTTGTGGGTCTTTACCTTTTATTGATTAAATTGTATTTTATCCATATATTGGGAATATTATTAAAGAAAAAATTCAAAATTTAAATTCTGGAATTCAACTACAAGGAAATAATGCATTAAATTTATATTTTTCAATGTGTTTTCTTTATTTACCTAAAAGGGTAAAATCGACACAACAAAAAAAGTAATAAATGTCAAAGAACCTACATCTAAAACCAAAAACACGAGGACTAAACCCAATGATAGCTAATCATTTTAGACCTAGATCTAAGAAGTCCTAAAACTTAAAAGCTTAATGATTTAAGTCTTAGAGTGAACAAAGAAAAGTATAGAGTTTAAATAAAAAAACTCTACATTTTATAGAGAAACCATAAATAAATAAATAATGACTAAAGCAGGCAAAGCCGCAAAGTTATCATGCTACTAATTCCAAAATTTAAAAAGCTTATAGATTGATAAATATCTTGAAATTCCCTAAAGCATTAAGATTTTTACATGCATGTGTGTGTATGAAAGAAGGCATCTATACTTATCACATCAAAGCTTAACAACCAGAAAAACTAAACGTTCGATAATAGAGAAAAGAGATATAGAGATAGAGACGGAGACGAAGAGAAGAAGAAGCATGAGAGAGAGAGAGAGAGAGAGAGAGATGAGTTTTGGCTCGGAGATGGAGACAATGGAGAGAAGAAAGAGAAAAAAAATTTAAAGAGAGAGAGAGAGAGAGAGGCATGACAGAGGGAAGAAAGGGAGAGCAATGCAATTGTCCACAGAAAACAATTTTTTATATTACTTATGGAAGAGTGTTACATGCGTCTAGCAAGTGTGGAAATACTTGCTTTTGAGCGATTGTTAATAGCATTCCTCATCCCCTTTATATATTGATTGGAAAGAGGAAAAAAAAAAAACAGAGAGGTATTGGGCTTGGGTTTGCAGCAGGTAATGTCTCACTAACAAGCAAACAAAAACATAGAGGTATTAGCTTAGGTTTGCAGCATTAGTTGTATATATATGGGCTTGAGGGCCGGGCCAGGCTTTCATGAGCTCAAATAGGCCGGGCCAATGGTCAGGCTGGACTTTAGACATTTTAGCCTAAGCCCAGCCTACTGAACAACTGGTTGGGCAGGTCCATAGCCCACAATGGGCCGAGCCGAGTTTTTTCTCGATGGACCAAGCCAAATGATGACCCCTAACTTTAACCCAACAACAAGGACATTTTAGTAATTATTACCACTTCTAACCCAATTCCATATGATTTAGTAAACAACTTTAATAGGAATCCGGAATCCAACTCTTCTCAATCTATATGGTTTAGAAAACAACTTCAATATGAATTCGAAATCTAATTCTCCTCAATTCAACTCCTCCTCAATTCAATTCAATTTATCCTAAATCCGATTACGGATTAATAAGCTAACGGGGTCTAGCTCAATGGAAAAGGACCTTGACTTGCAGACTAGAGGTCTCAGGTTCAAACCCCCATAATATCTTAGTTGTATATGTGTGTGTGAGAAACCCCATGCTTTGTAGTTTAGACTATCGCTTGTACTAATAAAAAATGTGTATGTACATGTCTCATAATGTTATTTGTTCAAATAAATATGGTTTGAAGTGTGCTCAAATTTGAATGGATGATAGAATGACATGTCATTTGGTGAAAAAATGTGTTTTTATATATAAAAAAATTCAATATTTGCTTTAAAAAAATTATTACACAAAGGGTCAAAATTGGAATTGAATGTAATCTCCAGTCATATTGTGGAGTTTGAATTTTATTTCAATTCATCAATTAAAATATTTGTACTACAAGAATACTCTAAGTGTATATGTAAACATCTCATAATGTTATTTGTTAAAATAAATATGGTAGTGAGCTCAAATTTAAATGGATGACAGGGTGGCATCATTTTGGTGAAGAAATGTGGTGCTATATAATTGAATTAGATTTTTTTTCTTCTTATGATTTAGACAATTGCTTGTATATAAAGAAAAAAAAATTATTTTCACCCAATAAAAAAGAAAAAAAAATTATAGCCTAATTTTATTTCAACCGCAAATATACAAAAATAAAAGAATTGTATTTCAACCTGTACATGCAATACTACCCTGTTTGTCACAAATTGGTCATTTCTTGGCTAGTTATTCTTTACATTCAGGCTCATGTTTTCAATCTAGTCTTCCTCCATAGAAACCTTCCCAGTTTCATACATATGATACATCCAAATTGGTTCAAGCAATTCCTTTGCACTTCGCAGATTTTCCCTTCTATCTTCTTGGCTTTCTTCTTCCATTTCTCTCTCTATCTGAGGGTAAAGGTCTTGAAGAGAAGCCAACATCATATCACCCCATTCTTTCTCATCTTGCCTGAATACCTTCAGGCATACAAAGCGTACAAGTCCGGAAACCAACCTGAAATTCTTCTTTTCCAGCCCAACTATGGCGGCAACCAAGAAAACCACTCCAAAAACATCCCGTATGCTGAGGTTTCCTTTCAACAATATGACAATCATGTCAAGAAGTTTCTTAAAAGCAGGAAACTCCTCTGGTTCAGAATCTCCATCTTCTTCTGGCCTAACTTCACTTATTTCGGAGACCTCAATCTTAGCTAAAATCAAGTGCCATGATGGAAAGTGGAGTCTATTGCGATCAGCTGCAGTTATTTCTATCGCCTCTCCCTTAATCTGTTTCATAATCTGGCCAGATCCTAATGCCAAAACCAAGTCAGGAAGCCAAGACTTTACTCCTGTCACCATATGTGCAACGTAGTTAGAGCCCAAGTACAATTCAATCGAGATGATTAAGTCAAGCAGATAGTTCGCAAGATCAGAAGCTTCTGTGAGAAATGGTGAAGCTTCTGTAACATCTTTAAGAGCTAGATTAAGTAACTTGGCTGCATAGGTGAAAGAGCTCTTCAGACAGAGAATCATATCCTTCAAATCTTCCTCCTCAAATTGAAACTGCTCCCGAGATTGTCGCTCCAAAGTAGATGTGACGCATTGTATATAACCTGATGTGAACTTTAAGCACCTGCCCTGATTTTGAGGAACAAAACCTATTGTAGCAGCATCAACCACGAACCTTAGGACTGCAGTAAGCATCTTCACCTTGTTTGATAACTTCTTTGGTTCAGTATAGACACATCCTGCATATATTTATGAATAATATTCAATAATAGCACAGGCAGAAGTACATATAATCAGTACCTGTGAGAAGCAATGAAATAAAGTTATCTATGGAGGAACAAGGTGGATACGCATATGGTTGGAGATTATAATTTACATCTTTCGCAGTCCCATTGTTTTTTAATTTTTGGCCATTGCAGTCCCACTGTTAAAATTTAGACAATGTTCCAGAAAGACCCGAAGCTTGCACAAATAACAACTAAGTTGCCCAATGTGCAACTGTCTGGGATAAACACCAGAGAGGCTTCCTACTTAACAGTGTAAGTCTCTTCAACTTATGTGATCTGTTCCCTTGTGCCCTGTCCATAATTACTTACCACCATCACTTGGACTGGAGGCATCAATCTGAGGTCCTCTGTGTCTTTTTTCACGACGAGTGGACGACCTATTGCTAGCATGCTTAGATTCTGGAGAAATATTTCCAGACCCTCCAGATTCACCTGCTCCAAATAGCCTCTCCGTACAGTTAAGCAGGTGATCCAATGCCTGTTCCAACTCTGTCTGCAGAAAAAGAAAACAGAAGCAAGACTTTAGACAGTGAAATCGTGTCAGATAGATTACTTCAGCTGCAAAGCAATTATCTTCTTTGGTCTGCACAAAGTTTAGGAAGATTGAGAACAAGCCCTAATATGAATATCAATTATGTAACAGTATACAGTACAGAAGCATCTCTCCAATTCAAAATAAGAAATCTGATATAAACTGAACAAATTACAGTTGGTTAATCATGAATAGAAATACAAAATAATGACTGGTTAAGTTTCAAATATGAGTGAATGTAAAGACAGCAATAAGATCGTAATCTCGGAAGAAAAGAAAAGAAAACTACAAAATAACACATGAAACAAAAAGTGAGACAGTATCACATGTGAGAGAAACTCCAGTTTTGATATGTTCAGCAATTAAGATATGAGCAGAAAAACAGCTGAGAGAGATAGCACTTGCCTCCAAACTAGACCTTGTGGATTCAGTCCTACGATCCTTTTGAAGAGACATATGCAGAGCAAGATATGTATATGCCAAAACCGGAGATGTGTCCATATATTCACAATGCATGCACTGCACAATGCTGACCTCAGACAAGACCTTTAAGGATAGAAATAACGATTCTAGAACTTGAGATCCCAATATAGATTTCCGAGCGTTGACAGATACAAGCAAGTCTCTAATTTGCCAGGCTATTCCTACTGCAATTGAATAATCATTCTCAAAATTGGTTTGCTTTTTCCCACCGACATTTTTCCATCGAGCTGAAATTTTACTAGAGGACTTTGATTTCTTCCTTTTTGCAGAGAAAACACTCAGCTTTGGTATTTCATTGCCAAATTTAATATGGCAACGGTATGCAGCTTTCTGCAGGAAGGCTGTTAGAGCTTCAAGCATGCCATCAACCCCATCACAAGAGAGCAACAACTTGTGAGCAGACCTCACTTGAGCTTGCCTCTCCGCATTTGTGGATAAACCACTACAATTTGTGACCTGGTGCATGCATTCATCAAGAAGTCCAGTCACATCATCTGGAGAGACAGCTGAAACAATGTTGAATACAGAAGACTGAGCACGCCCGGTAGCTGCAGCAGCAAACAAGCACTTCAGTTTTTCACCATCAAAGAACTCTTTAAGAGCATTCTTGAAAAATGGCTCGCTGGCTAGGGTATTACAAAGGTTGGCAGCAGCAAGAAGTAAACCCTCAACTCGATCTTCATCCAGATTATTAGGCAGCAAGACCAAAGTAACCAATACTCTAACAAGTTCCACCAAAGACTTATGAGATGCCCCTTGGGACACAGCAAACTCACAAAACCTTGCTCCAGCCATCGGAGACCTTTTAACAAGTGTCACACAGCGATTGCATGCTGCTTCAACAGACACTTTCGAGGGAAAATATGATGGCATAAGCAGTCCTGTGATTTTCTGAGCAACTTGAGGTTGATCATTTGCAAGGGTAGATAATAATACATCTAACTTGACCACCTGTTGAAAGATCAAATGAAGTAGACAAACCAACTAATGTCAAGAAAGGCAACAGAAATAATAACAGCTTATACAAAGGATTCTGAGGGCATTCTGTACCTTATGGAACTGGAAATTTCGAATATCTCTTACAAGAAGAAGGAGATCTGCCATGGCAACTCTTATTGATAGGACATTGTCCATCATCAAATGCCCCAATCTGGGTAGAAGCACATTGAGAATTTGATGACATTGGGGATTTCCAAACAAATACATAATACCATTTATTGTGGAAAGTCTAACCTCGTGCCATACATCATGTGACATATCATCAAAAATCTTAGTAATTAACTTTGTGATGGTGGGCAAAGGGATGATTTCCCAAAAGAGACGAAGGACGCGACAAGAACCTTCCACCGCAACCACTCTCACCTCAGGACAATCGTCGGCCAGTAATCTCTCCAACAGAAAGAACTGCTTATGAAGCAACGAATCTTTCACCTCTTTTGTGGAATCAGGATCTTCAAGAGGGAACAAGTCCAGAATCAAATGCAGCGCATTTTGACGAACATTAGAATTCGCAACCTACCACCAACCGATCATTTAAATACATCAAAAGCAGAGTCTTTGGCAATTGGCATTACAAACTTATTAACAAGAAAAGTACCTGCAGAGAGCGAAATATCACAGGCTCAGAGAGCTGGAAAAGAAGCTTCTCAACACCAGCAGTGGTCCTCTGGTTTATAAACCCTCCCAAAACCCTTCTAATTGAAGCAGCCAAAACTCCAGAACTGGCATGTATTGCACCCTCAATCAAACCCTGCAAAAAAACATTTTCAATTTCACTTCTTGAGTCCCCCTCCAAAACTTTCCAAGCCCGAAACAGAACATCCCCATAAGCCTCTAGCATCGACTTTCGTCCAAACGGAATCTGAGACCGAATCATTGCTAACACTTCCTTCAACAGCTGCGAACTCAAACCGAACAGAAAAGCAAGGAACTTCTTCCCCTCCTCTGTCTTTAGATACAGAGGCGAAATCACACACCGGATTAACAACTGCTTCAAGTCTTCAATGCTATCATCCTCGAAATCGAAGCACGCAAAGGCCTCGCGGAGCGCGTAGACTCTGTGGACATCCGCCTTCTTCTTCAGAGTCAGAGATCGAGACAGCAAGAAAGGGAGCGACTGAGAAATCAGAGATTCTCGCCCCGGAAACTCCTCCTTCCACCATTGCTCGCACAAACTCGCTATCTCCGATACCAGCACTGAATCCGACTCCAAAATGATCAAATTTTCGTGCAGCGCTTGAACTCCGGGCAACAAATCCAACGGCGAGAACGCATTTTGGGGATGCGAAACGCATAGTTGCGTGATAAAAGCTAAAACTTGAAGCTCGGAAAGAAGCTGCTGCTTTTCCCGGTCAGGATTCGGGTCTGGATCGTCTCGTTCGGGTTCGGACCGGGTCTTGGACCTCCGAGATGACCTCCGGAGGCGCTTGGTGGGAGGAGAGCGTGGGGAACTATGGCTGGGGTTCGGGTTGGAGTTAGGGTCTAGAAGGTTCTGGAAGGATTGGATGGTTTGGGAAATGGAGTTGCAGAGAGAGAGAGGGAGAGAGGAGGAGAGGTCGGAGGAAGGATTGACGGCGTGAATTAGGGTTTTGAGAGCGGGCTTTGAGGATTTTAGGGTTTGCTTTGTGGCTGAGCTCAGAAATTCGTCGGCTGAGGATCGGAGTGAAGAGCGAAGCCGCTTCTCCATGGCAAGAGTTTTACGAATCGAAGCGTTTTCTTTATTTTCAGAAATGAGAACTGAGAAGACGAGGGGAGACCGTTGCCTTCGATTTTCGGATGAACTGGGGAAGAAAAGTCACCGTCTGTGATTAAAATCAATCTGACGTACGAATGAGGACGCAATACACATAATACTCAGGGTGTAACGACTTGTCTGTTATTTACATTAGAAACTAGACTGGTGCCGCTTCAATCCTTTCAATTTTCAAATGGGATTTTGGCGCTGAGGCATTGGCGAAAACGAACCGGGCTCCTTAAATTGGAGACTAGGATGTTTCTCGGGCATACACACCCAAAACATTTGATCACCACACCCAGTATGTAGAAATAAGGTTGCAAAACTTCTAATTTTCCCCTCTAGGTTTAGTAATTAAAACATTAAAAATCAAGCAACCATGACTTAGTTCTTTATACACAAATTGCCATTTGACATGTGTGAGTAAATTTTTATTTTGAAGTTTTAATCAGTCATTTATTTTTTCAGTCATACTGCGATTTGTAGGTAAGGAATCGAGCAGCGTTCCTTTATTTTTACTTTTACTTCTTTTTATTTTTTTATTTATTTATAATCATCATATCATATGTAGAGCTAAAATAAAAAAAATTGCAATTTTATTTGGTTGGTGGATGCAACTCAACTTCACAACTTTTTGCTGCTAATTGATGATATAAAAACTTGGTTTATGTCTTTGCTCAAGCAATCAGACAGATTGGATTCCTTTTGCTAATAAAGTGTTGTGCAGCAGGGATTGGTACCAACTAAAGTTGGCCTTCCAACTCAGGATACAATGTGCTTTATGAGGCACCATCACTCCAACCGTTGAGTTTAAGGAGCTTGTAAGCCTTGGTGGGAGCAATGGGAATGGGGTGATGGAAAATCAATTGGGTTCAGCTTGTTTGCTATGGGTTTGCCTCTTCCAAAACCAAGAGAGAGGAGAAAATACACATTACATGCCCATACTCTTTTGTCTTTTTTATTTATAGAACTTTTCGTATTGAGAGGGGCAATAATATACTAAATTCTTACACACTGAACGGATGATAGAACTCGAACCCAGGACCTCGCCTAAGTAAGTAATTACTCCAAACCACTACACTAGTGCACTCGTTGCCTTTTTTGGGTAAAAGAAAAAGTGTATACTGAATTATATTTGTGCAACTTAATGTTAATATGCCATCTTAGGCCTAGCTAGGTGAAAGTAACTTTTGGCTCGCCCTCTAATACCATGCTCCCAAGATGGTAATGTAATGTCCAACATTTTTCTTTTTTCTTTCTACCCTTTGGTTCCCAGGTCATTTTCTCTTCTTAAAAGGAGTGAAATGTTGTTTTCATGCCATAAACCAACAAGATCCGTCTGTATGATGTGGATGTAAAGCGTGGTCCTTTTATATTTATGAGCATCCTAGACTGCAATTCTGCAAATATGGTGTCCAAATTACATAAACCATCTTAATGTGGTAAAAAACCACATAATGGAAGTTCATTTTTGCACTAATATGGAAAAACCAAGTAGCTTTTCCCCCTGCATTATTGGTTTTGAGAGCCTATTCTCAATAACAAATCACTAATCACACAAAACCACAGTTTAGTTTTAATTGAAATTTGTAATTTTTGAGGTCTGTTTGGGCAGAACAGAATCCAAGACAAGTCTTTAGACCAAATACATTTGGCTTTGTGGGTACAGTCTGTGTACCCCAATTCTGCAGAAGATTAAACAGAAGGCTTCTTTGTTTCTGGGGCGAAGTTGAAATGTACCCAACCTAGGATTAAATAGAGGTACTGAAAATGAAGATAAAAACGTAGTAGCCAAAACCCTAGTGGTAAAATGAAACATAGACTTTAAACCGACCAATTATGCTTTCATTGATTTGGTTGGTTCTCCTTCCCCTGAGGCTTCTTGACCAGAAGATGAGTGTGTCCCAAATATGCATCACTTCTCACCCTTTCTTCTTCTTCATTTTTTTGGGTACAATTATAATCTTATTTTCTGGATCAGAGGGAGCAGAGAGGTGTGGGCCTTGTGGCTCCTCCTGAGAAAGAGCTACACAATACACAATTATAATATCTAAAGTGTTCTGGAGGAAGTAAGTATGGCTACTGCTTCAGGCTAAATTACAATAGTGTACTGTGCCAGACTGGCCTATGAACCCTAAGAAGGCATGTGGATGGGTGGAGCCTCTGACACCATTTTGCCATGAATCTCATGCCCCAATCCCACCACCCCCACCCCAAAACAAGGGTCCTTTGGTTCGTAATTATGGTTCAATTGGGTCCTACAGCACCAGTGAAAGGGTGCAGTGCAGAAATCAGCATTTGCATTTGCTGGTGGAAAGCAATATTGGCCCTCCATGGTTGAATGAAATTGCTCATGGTCCTCACTTAACTAATCTGCAAAACCAATCTCAAGCCATTCATCTAGAACCTCAAAAAAGCCTACCCTTTATTCAAATCATTTAGTTATGCAGATTTCTTGTTGTTAAATAATAGCCGACACGATGTTAAAAGAGTACTTATCCTCACATTCACGGTAAAAGTTTGATTCTTAATCTTTCACTAGGACCTTGAATTAAAAGAGAGAGAGAAAAAAAAAAAAAAAAGAGCCATCCCAAAGTACAGTCTTAACAGCGAAAGGAAGTATTTTCCTATTCATCAAAGAAGTTTCCCACTCATCAAAAGGGAAACACAACATTCCCAGCAAATATAATCACACTCACCTTTTTATAACTTTCAATGGCCCAAATGCAACACAGATATATCAAATCAAACAAAAACAATTCTTCATTCCTCATGGCTTTCAGCCTTTTGAAAGACAGATAGGAAGCATCCCAAGCGCCCCCATAAAAGTAGGGTTAGCAAGTGATGTATAAGTACATAAATAAATGTTCACTTTCATGAAACATAGAAATAATTAAATAATAACAAGAAAAAATTACACCAAAATTGAAAGAAAGAAAGAAAAAAGTGGGTGAGCAATAGTGGCACTATGACAGCAAATATTACTAAAGATTTACTATAGACAAAAGGGTCATCAATGGCCTTCTACCACTCTCTTGGCCTTCGAATTCATTCCCTTCTTAATGGCTTTGGACATCAGTCAGCTTCTTAACTTCTTACTGTAGGCTAAAGTAGTACTCGTCCTCTTTTATTTATTTACTTTCCCTTTTTCTCTATCCTCTTGGTTGTCACCAGCTGAAACCTTTTGTTTGGTATTGGAAATTGGAACTCCAATCATCAAATTCCAAATCATATATACCATAAATTGGTAGATAACACACACTCATTAGACCTATAAACCCCATCTAATACGAAGAATCATTTTTTCAGTTGTAAAATCTCTATAATCCAATAAAAAAATTGCCCCAAATCAACCCTTTGCTGAAGAGAATCTGCTAACTATGGCCTGTGATTTTTCTTTGTTGGACAACTGTGATCAGAGTCGCTGAAGGTAAGCCTTCTCTTAGTCCCAACTGAATTTTCAAGCACATCCATTGAGCTTGGATGGATTGCTAACACACTAGGGGAAATTGAAAACTTGGGTGGTGTCTTATCTTTTCTTTCCACCATTTCCTGCATATGATTATAATAGGAAAATATATGTTCCTGTTGCAATGGTAACATACTTAAGATTAATGAACAGTAACAAGTGGCAGAGACACAAATCAATGAACAAATTACAATTAGTAGACTCACATAATTTTCTTGGGACTGCAAGAATGAGACCACACTCATCTTAAGCTCCAGCATTTTTCTAGTTAACCGACCATCAGATGCTGCTAAAACTGCGGCTGCTGCGATGATAGACGGCCGAGTATCCATTAAATCAATCTCTGCATTAGAGGAAGGAGATTGATTAGGAAATATAACAAACTAAGCAGATTTAATTAGATTGGGAATTTGGGATATTATAATGTTATGGATTACCTTTTGCCATTGCCACAATGAGTCTTATAGCATCAGAGAATAGTCCTTTGGGTCTAGATTCAGCACAGAATTTATTGATGAAGTAATGCAGATAAGCAAAAGGAGTGATTGAACCCAATTTCCATTCCAATGTGTTCAAGACCAATAGCTCCATTCTCCGAATCACCTTGCTTTCAAAGTTATAATCTTGGACTTGGAACTCTGATAAAGCTGGCACTTTACATTCTTCCATCTTAGCTGCCAAGGATAAACATGCCACTGATAATAGTCGAATAGCCCACAATTTCCCATCCTATATGAAAACCAATAAAATCCAAATATTATTACCATACCATAGTCAAACATTAAAAAATGAAAAAAAGAAAAGAAACCCATTGATCAAAACATGATGAATGTTGGGTTACTTACATCAATGGATCGCTTTGAAAGAAACCCATCAAAGTAAGTGACAGACAAATAAACTGTTTGAAATTGGAACCCAAAATTTCCTCCTGTCTACAAAATCAAAATAGAGAATGCACAAACATTCAGGGACCGAATCGAGAATAAAAAAGAGAGAGAAACAAGAATCTGGAAAAGTTAAGAGCTTTAGGAGAGTAACATGCATTGAAAATCCATTCAATCGAATCCAAGCGAGCAGTTTTCAACCAGCATATGTCAGAGGCAGAGCAATCAGTAAAGGGTACAAAGCCTTTGGATCCAAAGCAACGAGCTTCTCTGCGGACCAAGTTCTCAACATACTCATCTTCATCCACAGAAACAAAACATGGGTCTGAATCTATGCAAGTGTTTGATTCAACTTCCAATTGATTCAAGCAAGTTTGATCTTCATGGCAGAGGAGGCTGGAGAGAGAGAACGAAGAAGTGTCTGCAGAGTCCCTCATTCTCCTCAGTCTCTCTGTACATCTATCTATGATGGAAGAAATAACAATCAACAAATTAAAACTGTCAACAGGGCGTGCATATTCACAGTATATATTAAGCAACTGCTAAATCCACGGTGATGAAATTGTGCAAAATCTTTAGAGAGAGAGAGAGAGAGAGAGAGAGGACGACTAAAGAAAGTAGAATGTGGGGAGTGAGAAGGAAAAGTGGCGGTTTTGGTGCCGCCAAAATGACCGGATGAGATATAGAGGGGAGTTAAATTAGCGGTTAGGAAGTTTAGTGGGTATAGTCTACCACCACTACACAGTATACTGTAGTTATATACTGGTAGGAGTCCTATGATTTCTCATTCTCTCCAAATTTTAGGAGATTCTGGTTTTAAACTCCAATTTGGTTTTATGGAAGTCAAAATTTCTTATTCAATAATGGCACTTTAGAGACCAAAATTAAAATTGCTTTAGGTTATGTCAAAGGATCAACTCCATATTTCATAAAATATTAAGAAATAAAAAGGATCACATCCATATATTTGGGTGGGGAGCTCTAAGTCACGTGGGATAGGTCAATTGGTCATTGTGCCCGTCTCCTTGCACCCAAGTTGAATCTCCTTCCTTGTAGATTAATGCAGTTTTGACTATTGCATTTTCAATCTGTCATTAGAATTTGGAGTTAGCCCAAAATGGTGAGGAAGAGTTGAGTAATGAGTGAGGATTGCGATATGTCTAGGGTTTGAATCAAAAAATATAACATATGTTACATGTTTTATTTATAATTCAAGTTTTATAACACGTTATATATTTTAATATAAACGGTACTTGTCATGTGTAGAGAACTCTCCATTTTTATTTCTTTTTTTCTTTTTTCTCAAAGAGGTGGGTTGAAATAGAAATTAAGATGATAATATAGGGAAAAAAAATCCATATCTTGACTTGCATGCACTTATCTTGGTCGTCCTTTGTGTTTTTCCAAAGTCTCCCTTTTTCTAATGGGTTATGCAAACGAATCATTTTATGAAGAAACCCAAAATATAAATAGAGACTATTTCTTACCTTTGGTATACTACTTTTGGGGTACGTACTTACCCTTAAATTTTGGACAGCTGTAGGATGGGAAGCTTTGTCCTATCTGATTAAAAGGGTCTCGTTTGGCCCTTTGGTCCTATGGTTCATCATCATCGACAGTTCTTCTTTCTCTGAGTGCCTTCTTCTTTTCTTCCAAGGGAGGGTCCAAAGGGATGCAGAATGACAGAATGTATGTCGTTGGTGTTTAGGTATGAAGTTGAACATGTAGAACCAAAAAAAAAAAGTAAATAATAATAATAATAACTGAAGTTAAGCATTATAGATCCTAATGGTAGATTGCTCTTCTTTTTTTCTTCTTTTTTTCTTTTTCGTTCAATAAACTTATTGTACCAAAAAGAATGCTCTTTTTTCGCTTAACTTGTGAATCGAAAATAGAAAGAAGAAAGGAAGAAATAAAACACACACACACCTTGTACCTTACTTGTTTGTACCAGCTGGAATTATTGTCTGCCTCTGTTGTGTAATGTCATGCCAAATTATTGCCATGGTACACCACATATTTCCAATATATATTCCAAAGGAAAGGAAAAAAAAAGGCATATTTGTGAAGACATTATTATGAATTGGTAAGTAAATTTTGCTCATTTGCTTTGTCCACACCATGGCATCTATTGTTTTATTGATTGGCTTGTTTTCCTTCATTTCCACAAGGCTCCATTTGTAATGATTGCTTATGTATTCCATAAGGAAGTATGTTCTGATAGCTTTCCTCATTATAAAAAATTAATTAGGAAAACTTTTTTTTTTTTTTGGTCTGAACCATGAGGTGGTCCTAGATGGGCCCCAACTATGGGTGGCACCTTTAACCTTAACCACAATCCAGACTAATCCCCGCTCACACCGGATCAGCCCGTAAAGGATAAAGTGCTGACCAAAGTGGTGACTCCATACGAGAGCAGGGATCGAACCCCTGACCTTCTCTTAAGGAATGAGAGTGTCGAACCACTCACACCAACCACCTTGGTTTAGGAAAACATTTTTAAGTTGATCATAAGTTCAATATTCAAAGAGAAAAAAAAAAAACCACAAACTATTTTTTTTTTCCTTTCTCTAAATAATTTAGTAAATATTTTTGTATTTATTCTTAAAATTCATGGAGAAGGTAAATTCCATGAACATATGTATTTGTATTCGTATAAGCACACGAGTTTGAAAGAATGATGGTCCAAACATGATGACAACAATTTTAATAACTTTTCATCTTTGGGGTTTTCCTACTTTTTGTCCCTTTTGTTAAGGATGCTTTTAATTAATCACTGATTCTCTCTCTACACTTAGGATTTGATGAACCATTTGCAACTTTATTTGCAAAAGGTTTCTGACTAAACAATTGGGTTTTGTTTAGGGTCTTAGCGTTATTTAACTTCTAATATATTAAAACTTAAAGGCATATTTGTCTATATCAACATTACATGGCTTTCAAATCTAATTTCTATCACCGGAAAAAGAAAAAAACACGGTATAACTTTGTAGGGCATATTTTCTTATTAGGAATGGGGAAAATCATGAATAAGAGAAATTTTAGACGAGGGAATCAAAATATTGGAATTGACTAGGCTCTTAGTTGATTCCATTCCCGATTTTGAGAGTATCTGATTATGGATTTTAAGGTGAAACTCACATAATTTTTTATTCCTTATGTGTTGTAAATGCGAGGAAGTTAGGAATTGAAATAATTCCAATACCAATGTCTTAGTAAACACAGAAGAATCAGAAATTAGAATCATTCTAATAACCATTCTTAATAAGTAAACATGCCATTAATTTGTGAAAATTCATATGTTTTGTTGCACCTATCTTTTTATAAGTAATAAATTGTTTTTGGTAACAAAATGTCTATAAGTGAAATTAATTATTAGTTAGCCAGGCAACATTAAGTATGGCCAAAAGGCAAAAGCTGAAGTGAGTTATTTTACAAGTGTAAGGTTATGATGGGCATGCATTTCTTTTAGAAGGAAAACTGCAGGGTAAGCTTAGCTCTAAAGCAAAAATGATAAATGACGCAAGATCCAAAATCTGGTCTGTCAGTAAAATTGGTTAAATGCAACTTGATAATTAGATAAGAATATTAATCCAGTCTCACCAAATAAATAGCTCAAATCCTATCTCCCTCGATATAAAAACGGAATGGTAATATTTTCCTCCTAGAGACCTTACATGTCAAGTTGCGAGAATATAAATTGGGATTGTATACGAGTGCTGTTCATCTTCCATATAAATTTGAAAAAAACACAATCCTAGAGCGTGTTCTTTCATACTAAAAAAGAAGGCATTTGATAAAACAATCATAGAACTTGAGAAAAAAAAACTACAATTGATGGAATGGCCAATGAAGAGGTGCTTGAGAAATTGGGCAATCTGGTAAAAAAAAAGGGAAGCCATAGAGAGAAAGCTATCAACAACCTAACTTGGGCAGGGATGGAGTCAAAATCTCTTCTTTCATTATATGATGGGAAAACCAGAAGTTACTATTTTCAAGGTGAGAAGAAAGAGAGCATTGCTGTCTTTTTTTTCCTTTCAAATTTACACGGTGGGTGGGAAGATAAAGTAGATGAGGAAATAAGACAATTGGTGAAAATAGCAGCACACTTATGCATTCAAATATGATTGCACCGAATCAAATATACTTCATCAACATAATTTGTTAAGTTGTATGACAAAATAACATTTCAAAAGTTTTTTTGTTTGTCAAACAATTTAACATGTTATATATGTTATGCGAAAGCATTCGTGTTTGAGTATGTAAGTTAAGATTAAGAGTAGAATTCAAATATAAAAGGATATATAACTATTGAATTGGTGATACAAGACTGAGCTTAAAAGTTGATTATATGAAGATAAGTATAGGAGCATGTTCAAAAAGGTTACATTATCCAATTAATAAAAGCCAGCTCTAAGACCAAGTTTTTGACCCTTTTAATTTTCACATCATCACCATACAAAACTTTATCACTTTGAATTGAAATACATGTATAGAAACTCAAATTTTGGTTTGGGCCACAACTAGAAAATAGAGTAGAGGGGGCTTAAGAAAATAAATAAAGATTGAAGAAGGGCACACGTGAATAAAAATTATAATTGCAGAGGGAGGAGCGTCTTCACGTGTGGAAAAGCTGGACCACTCCAGTCAGTGGTAGCAGCATGAAGAAGAAGAAGACGCTCCTCTGAGGACCTCATCTATCCAAAGTTGCCACCCACTCATAATACAATATGATCGACAATAATCAAATCAATAATAAATAAATAAATAAATAAAAATGTTTATATATAAAAAATATAATATTACTACTTGCATTTTGCAAGGTGGCTGGCAGCAAACTTGGGTCTTGGTTATAGGGCAGGGCAGGAAGGGAACCTTTGACTCTGCAAAAATCTGCAAGCCCAAGATGGTCAGCAACTAGCTTTGACCGTTTATGATTTGTTGCTCTTTGTTGTTGTTTTTGCATTGCTTACAGATGCAGGCTAGGTGGGGAAAATCATGGTTCCAAGACCAGGGTTTTTCACCATCAAATTGCGAGTTCTTTTGTTTCTTTATTATTATCATTCCTTCTTACGTCTAGTAATTTAATACTCCCTGATCAAAAGGACGAAATTGCCCTGCAATGCAATGAGTGGAAAACATTTTTGTGGGCAAAGAGACAACCATGTAACCAAGGTCGGTTCTGAGATTTTGAGTGTCCTGTGTGAAACTTAAATTGAGATACTCTTTCCATCATTTGACATGAAAACACTATATATAAAAAATACAATAAATTGATGTCAAAAAACAATGAGACTAATGAACACAACTATTTTTCAAGACATATGCATAGTTTAATAGAAAAGTACGATAATGTTGTTTGGTTGGTCATCTTGTGCGGTGCACCACTTGCACACCTTGAGGGTTGGCCCCTGCATGTAGCATCCATCAAATACCATCTGACACTTTAGTTAGTAATGTGACATTTAAGACCGAAAAACTTTATACAAAAAGCTCTAAAGGCCGGTTTTGTTTGCGGATTACATATTTAGAAATGAGTATGAGATTTCATCCATATGTGGTAAGTACATTCTTGCATAAGATTTCAATGCCCGTTACATGAGTATGTGATACTCATGAAGGCGGAGTTTGAAGCCATGCCCCTTTGAGTATGCAACTCTCATGCTTGGGATTGCATTTGGTAATGATTTTTACTCCTTGTATGAGATTGTTGTTGCATCTTTACACCTTAAAAGAGGGAAATAGCTTGCATGCCACATGTTATGCTGTCCCTCTCTCCATCTATATGCTTCCTGAGGTATGCAACTTTCACGAAAGTGCTTTTTGCAGTAAGCCTTGCCTGCTGCAGGCCCAAAATCATTTTCTCAATGAAACTGCAATATCTGGCTCTGGCCCTTACTAATAAATACATTTCAAGTTTCTTCTGAACAAAGACTCTTCTCCTCTTCAGACCAAAAAAAAAAAAAAAAAAAGACTCTTCTCCTCCTTGGCGCTCGTTTATTCTCACTTCTTGTTGATATACGAAATCTCTGCTCACAGTTACAGGCACAAAACTTCCAAAATACTTTCCGTTAAGCAAATATGGTAGCTGACGTTCTGGCCAACTTCGGCCATTCGTATCGGAATACAGTCATTTGGTTTATAATTTTCTTTCATTTTCAGAAAAAAGAAAAAATATTTCAAGTCTACAAATAGTTAAACAATAGATTAAAACAAAAAACAATTTAAAATAATATATATATGGAAGTCACAGGGAAGCTAATTATATTTTCAGGAAGCATAGACGAATGGGAAAGGCTTGAACAAACAATGGAAAAGCCGAACTACAGCTGACCACCGTCCCAAACTATTGGGCCTCAAAATGGGTTCTCAGCCCATATTGGTTTGGGTGTAGTCGTCCAACGGTTTCCCGCGTAGGCCTCTCATAAGCTCGTTATTTCGACAAGAGCTTGCTAAATTTGAAACTGTAAACTAAAACATATGTTCGAATAAAAAGAAAATTGGAAAAGTAAGGATTCGTTTGGAAATGATTCTAGATAGGCAAATAATCAGTTCTATAGAGAAGCAGGTGGAAGTGCTTTTCCCCATAAATGTTTATGACCCTTCCCAAAATCACTCTCAAACGAGCCCTAATCATCTAACAGAGAGAATCAGAATCACGTTAGTTGGTCTGTTATTTCTTTTTGTCTTTTTTCCTTCTCTTAGGCTGAACTTGTGTTAGGATAGTTTCACTATTGTATTTTCTTTTATGTTATTTGGTATTTGATTTCTTGCGCTATAGCTTCAATAAAGTGTTAGAGTCATTCTATAGTGTCGGCCTTAGGTGACATCTTATTTCCTAATTGTTGGATCAGGCTAACCAATTTGATTCAACGACTAACCAATTTGTCAAACGACTAACTAATTTGATCCAATTATTAAGAGATAGGGCCTCACCTAAGGATATATAAGGCTCTCACTTAGAATTCTTGTAAAGTGTTAGGCCTAATGAATTGGGTTCATATGGTTATGTGAATGAGAGCTTTCATTTTGGGTTTAATAGTTATTGAGCCTAGGATGAAATTATAAAAAAACCCAACACCTAAAACCCATCATTATACACACTCAAAACCCATTTATAAACACACCCAAAAAATATACAATTGTTGACTTTGGGGTTAATTTTGGGTGTGTTTCTATGTTTAAATAATGTTTGGGTTTTTTTATAAATACATGTCTATGATTGAGTTTATTTATAAATTTGTATAATATATATGGGTTGGGATTCCAAAAATAGTTTGACTTCCAGAGCCGATTCTTTTTTAGATGGTGTATAAGATAATCTTTATATGTGGTCTCCTTAGTATTATTCTTTTCGGTAAACAACCAACAAAGTAGAGATTATGGTAGAAATTTTATGCAACTAGACCAAATTATCATGATTGTAGTTACTTCATTTTCTTTCATACCTACCTATTATGAGGTTTCGAATTTGTAATTGTACACATAAAACTAACGGTGGAAAATGAGACATGTCCTTGTCATGTGGTTGATAATGAGGCACGTCTCCCTCGTCCACTTTTATCCGACTGCCAAATTGGCATCCATCCCATCCATGCACATATGTTATGACAGAAGATAGATCCTCACCACCAACCAACTAGTACATATTTATTTCATGCCAACCTTTTTTCCCCCGAAAAAAATTGTTTGATTTATTAGTACCCAAAAAATGACGATGAGCTGTATTGATCCAAAACATCTTTGTCTTTCCCCTGTTTTGATAATGACAGTTAAAGCAGTTGGGAACGTTGAAGGGCAAAACGCGGGAGGCGCCTAAAGCAGACTGGAAAAATGCACGGTCCTCCTGACCTGAGGTGTGAGTGATTCAGCAAATGCCCAAAAACGGCCGCGTTTCGGGGAGTCTCTCACCGCCCGATATTTTTGGGGTGCAATGAGGAGGACTGAGCTGACAGTTAGACAAAGAGAGGAAGAGAGAGAGAGAGAGAGAGAGAGAGAGGAGGCCCTCCATTTTTATATATAGGAGCTTGGGATGTTGCAGAAATCTCACGTGTCGTGCCCAAGTCCCAGCCTCCCTCTCAACACAGAGGGAGAGAAACAGAGAGTGAGAGGAAGAACACCCAAAGAGGAGGAACAAACCAAACAAAAGGGCTTGGTTCTTTGGGTGACGCTTCTCAGAGGAAACGATATCGTCGTTGGGAAAGTGATTCTTCCACTGCTTTGCTCCCAAAAATCCATCTTTTCAAAAGGGTATGTGGTATTTTTGTTTTTGTTTTTTCTTTCGTTCTTCTGAGAATTGAATTGAATGACTGGAAAGAAATGGGTTTATGGGTTATTGGGTGGTGATATTCTTGAGCTCAAAAGAAAAGAACTTGATGATAATAGGTTGGTTGTTTTGAAATTTTTGAATCCAAAAAGAGGAAAATTTCATATTCACTATTGTATTAATGAAAGTGAGATAGAGGTTGTCTTTAGATTGTATATCAATGGTGGTGGCTTCATTATCTTTGTCCACTTGCATAATTAAACTTTTGTTGGCTCTATCAGATCCAAGAATTGGCAAGTTGAATTGTCTCTTCTTGGGCACTTGAATATTGTTGTTGATTGTTTGATTGGTTCTTTGCGGCCGGCATGTCTTTTCTAGGAGACATCCAAAAGGTCTGAATTCTCCATTGTATATGGGAGAGATCTTATTGTGCTGTTGGATCTATTTGCATTGTGTTTACTTTTTTACTTTTCAGCAAAAGATGATCTGGTTCTTATATGCTTGCTTTCGTGGGTTATGTATTACGTTAGAACCTCAAAACCTTGCTTTTCTCCTTGAAAACAATGCCTTAACTGACCTAATCTCAGAAACAGGCCATTTCTGATGGTAATTATCTAATACAAAATTGATAAATACTCTCACCAAAAGGGGAAAAAAAGATACCACCTCTGTAAAAATATTTTATAAATATGCAATTAATTATGCATATTGAATCCTTTTGATCTGAGATATATCTCTTAAACTGGTTATCATACTTCTGCAGAACCGGAGCTTAGACACTAATGTGTAAGGTGGACACCATCCATGAGGGATCTGCCCCTGTTTCCAAGGAAGTTTCCCAAACGATTCCTCCGTGGCCTGGTCCTGTGACAAACAATTTTCATAAGCGGTTATCAATTGATGGATCACCACAAAGGGGGTACAGCTGTGTTTCTACAGCAACAAAAGATTCATGGGAGCGCCTCTTTGATGAAGGTTATAGAGCAGATGTTTCTGTTAATACTGATGATGGTGGCATTATCTATGCCCATGCTAACATTCTTGTAAGTTTAGTTATTCAACATCGATTAAAATATGTGAAGTGATCTTCTCTAAATTCTGTTGCAGTCCTCCTAGAGCCCTAATTTGATAATAGATGTGAGGCCAAACTATTCAGGGTTTAATAGATGATTTTGTAAGTCACTTATTTATAAATTGTTTTACCACAAAATGATGTAGTCGTATCATATGAAACTTGTAAACACAGTCATACTAATTGTAAGTAGACATTGCTTTCCAGATTGACATTGTTGCTTGTCAGTAAGACATAACAATGGAGTTGACATTAGGCATGCTAACATTGTATTTGGATGCTATTCTGACAGGGCATGGCTTCCCCTGCAATGAAAGGCTTGTTGAAGCAATCAAGCCGGTTTCGTCGTCAACGATCAATCTCAATTCTTGGAGTTCCACATGACGCAGTCCGAGTTTTTATTCGATTCTTGTATTCTTCCTGGTAATGATTTTTCCATATGGGTGCTTCTCTTTCACTGAATTTCTTGGAGTTAATGTGATGCCTAGGAATTGGCCATTAAGTGAGACTTCATACCTGAACGTAGGAGAGGAAGTGAAACTTCATCTTTTAACAGTTTCTAGCTAGTACCTGTGATGCATGTTGAAAAACCAAGTTTGATAGTTTTTTTTTTCTGGTTGAATGCTTTATTAACCTGAACAACACCAAGACCAATAAAACTTGAACAATACTACTGGAATATTAGAACATTTCTCCATTTTCAAACTTAGTAGTCACACTTAATCCATTAAAGGATGTTATTGACACAAGTTTTGAAATTTGTTGCAATTCTAAGTTGGAACGATACTTTGTGTACTGATTGTTACTGGTGTTTCCTGTGTAGTTATGAAAAAAGGGAAATGGAGGAGTTTGTCCTGCACTTGTTAGTGCTTTCTCATGTCTACTTGGTTCCTCAGTTGAAGCAAGAGTGTGAGAAGAAGCTGGAGCATGGCTTGCTTACCACAGAGAATGTAGTTGACATATTTCAACTGGCATTACTGTGTGATGCCCCTCGACTTAGCCTCATTTGTCACCGTATGATCCTGAAGAACTTTAAAACTGTTTGTACAACTACAGGATGGAAAGTGATGAAGAAGAGTCACCCTGCATTAGAAAAGGAGCTCGTGGAGTCCATGATTGAAGAAGATAATGTAAGGGATCTGTTTGGCTTCTTCTTTTGTTTTCTGTATCTTTATGTAGCGCCATGGAAAGTCATGCTAAAGTTCATTCATGTTTGAATTCTTTTTCAGAGGCAAAAGGAGAGGATAAAAAAATTAAATGAGAGGAAAATATATTTGCTATTATATGAGGCAATGGAGGCTCTTGTTCATATATACAAAGATGGTTGTCAAACAATTGGACCATCTGATAAGGACTTTAAAGAGAACCAGGCTCCTTGTAAGTATGTAGCCTGTAAAGGACTGGAATTGCTGGTTCGTCATTTTGCTGGTTGTAAGTTGAGAGTCCCTGGTGGTTGCATTCATTGCAAGAGGATGTGGCAGCTGCTGGAGTTACACTCCCGCCTTTGTGCTAATTCCCATACCTGCAGGGTTCCTTTGTGCAGGTGTGCCCACTAATCTTTCTTTGTTTTTTTTTTCCTTCTTATTTCTTTTGATTATGGGGAGGGGGACACAAGGGTCGAACTCTTGTCATGGGTGTGAGAGTAAGTGCTCTAATCCCTAGAGCTATAAGCCCCCATCCTTTTCCCATTTAGTTTCAATAACCATTGCAGGCTTGAGGTTAGAGCGTCCAACCCAAAACCAATTGGCAATAGGTGGAAAGGCAACAAGCCCCCTAATGTGTGGTAGGACTTGAGCCAAACACATAGACAACTTATATTTAGTGACGTGGATCACATGTGGCTCAGTACTGGGTCTACGTGGATTGTCTGTTTTAGTACCATGTAGAATTAAGAGCATTCAACTCCTCAAACCAGTTGACAATGGGTGGAGAGGTCTAAGACCTTATGTATTGTGTCGCAAGGCTTAAAGTTCCTAACGTGAGATTTTGTACTCTCGACAAATTTAGCTAACAGAGGCATGGAATACACTGCTAGATTGATTTAAGTAGGAGATATCATAGGCGAGTTGTCGATATAGGTTTGATAGTTGACGTTCTGAATGGTTTTGTTTTGTTTTAGACTGCATGCTATGTCTTACTCTTACACTAGGTTCTGAACTTTTTCACTCACTGTGGCAAATTTTTTCATTTCAGGAATTTTAAGGAGAGAATTAAGAAACAGAGTAAGAAAGATGAGATTAGGTGGAAAATGTTAGTGAAGAAGATTTTGAGAACAAAGAGAATCGCGGGAGCACCGTTCATTTCATCAGCAAAGGCCAGCTCTTTGTGGCAATGAAGTCTTTGTTCCAGCGGAACCTGATTTAGTTGTACATTTGCTGTGATTAAACCAGTGTTCCTTTGTATCTCAATCTGTAATTTATAAAAAGCAGAGAATCACTTCCTGTCTGCTCAAGAAATTCCGGAATCCCGGTTAACTCACAAATATAAAGACTTCAATATATATTTTGGTTCTAGAAAAAAAAAAATATCATGTTTAGTTTTAAGTATATTTGGGAAAGTATAAGTTATATCTAAGAACTTAAATCTTGAACAACCATATTTATTAGTCTTTTCAGTCTTGAAAATCAATGTTCTCTCTAAGCATTTTCCATTTATTATAGGGCACTTTTGTAGCTTACCATTCTCCTTGGCGATCAAATGGATAAATATAAGAGCAGCATATTTACAATCACAAGCTCATGATCAAGAGAAAAGCTTGTATATCACGGGGATAACATTGTTTTGCCATCCCCAACCAATTACGTTCCCCATTCGTGATAAAAATTGAACATAAAGCCATCTGAGATTGAAAATTTTGAGCCATTGATTTCTAGATTTATTTGGCTTTCATAAAGCCTAAAGGTGTTTACAGTAATGGTTAGTCTTTGTGTGCTTTTCTTAAAGTGGGCTTGTGTTTAAGTAGCGATCGAACTTGGGTTGTCCTTAAAGTTTGAATATCTGAACTTTGACAATATGTCTCTTCTCCTTGCTCATTTCTTCCAATAGATTTGACATATTATCCAAGAGTGGGGTAGGGAAAAGAATTAAAGAAGACAACAATGCTGACGAATAGCTACTTATTATTGATTTTATAATTTATCAAATAAATGCAGACCCCAACCAACATCATGACCACCGACATCAAAACATTCTGCTTCCTTCAAAATGTGTGGGACTCTGGATCTAGATGAAGAAACCTAAGCCTATCTATCGCATATGTGTTGGCGCAGAAAAAACCCAAAACAAAAAAATCTAAATATTTGTAACTTTTCTTTTCCTTTTTTCATCTGTTGTACATGTTCTCATTTGATGCCTTTTCTTTTAGTTGGATGATCCTTCAAATAGCATATGCTCTTCTAAATAATATTCAATATTTAACTTGTTGGACTATGCATACCCGATTCTCATACAAAATCTGTTGCTTCCCCTGGGTAACTGGCTGGAACTCCTCTATGTGGAATGGGATCTTCTTTATATTGGAAGACTTTCAAAAGTGCCTTCCCTTCTGCATTCTTCTACTCCTTTGACATGCTTGTAACAAACAAAACAAATATACGGGTGCTGTCCTGCTGCTTCTTCAATTGGACGTATCATCGACGGCCGTGGTAGTATCCACCTAATAATTTACGTATCCTCCTAAAAGGTTCATGTGCTTCATATACACAAACTTCATGGTGACAAGCTTTCATCATCTGAACTGTTATCTTGTCTCACATTATACCTGTTGAGAACTGGTAGAGAAGCAGTTGCAGCTATCCGAAATGATCTAGCAGAGCCCACCAATGTTCTATCCTGCATCCTCCCCACTTCCTTGCACACTTGGTCCAATACGTTTAGAAAATCTCTCACGATCATGAAGATTCTGAAAGGATGGGCTTCCTCCTTTGCTGTATCCCCATGAAAATACTCAGTGACCTCTTTCACCATATATAATGCCTTTCTTTCATCAGCCTTGATCCTAAGAATTTCCTCCTCCGCCTCTTTTAGAAATATCTTCATCGAGTTGAAGAATTTCCCTTGCATATCTGGTTTCTCATATTGTAAAACCAGTTTGACCTTCTCAAGCCCCATTTCAAGCTTCGACACATAGCCACTTAGGACATCCGAGTCCATTCCT